TAAACATGTCCGTAGATGGGTCCGGTCAAATGCACAAACCACTTTTTTTTTTTTTGTGTGCCGGTGTTATTATTGTTCTCTATAAAATTTTTAAATTTAACTTGTATTAAACAAGATCTTATTTTATGTAATTGAATTAAAAGAGGCTTAGTAATAAAGTACTAAGGTAATAAGAAATGTATTTGTCGTTTTATAAAAGTTTGTTAGATGAAAGTAGAGTTTGTAACTAGTAAATTACAATTCTGCCTTCAGTGACTTGTAAGAAAATAGTATTTGTAACTTAAGAATATTACACTGTCAATTGTATATTATACATGTACACTAAGAGCGTGCCGATAATTAAAAGATAAGAGTTTTTAATACTTAATATTTAAATTTAAGACTTTTGTTTAATTTAAAACCTATAGTTTGCTTTCCATAAGAAATAAATTAAAATTCGTGAGTTTGTAAGACTGTATATGTACAAAGCCATTGCGAATATTTTGTAAAATATTCATATTTATATGCCATAAGTGACAATAAATCTTCATAAATCAAACACTCATAAAACGAATGATAATAATATTAAGTTTCATTACAGTATAAACTCGAGAAAAAGCGGAATTAATAGGAGCAACATTAATAAGTGTATTTATTGAAAAGTTAATGATATATCAGTCAAAATAATCTTCAATATCGATATCGGGATTTAACAAATCTTCGCCATACATACTCAAATCCAATTGGTTAAGTATCAAATTTTCACACATCTCTTCCAAGTCCGTTTCCCCAATGAGCACCGCGCCCTGCATCTTGCCGTCCTGCAGAATAATTTTAACGTACTCCTGATCCTTGGTGATTCGCAAAAGTATCTCGTAATTCCTACCCAACGTCTGCCCGTTGTACAAGCCGAGCAAAACGACTTTGTAGGAGAAGAACTTGGTCACGTGCGTGAAAAGTTCGAAACAGAAATCTTGCAAGAATTCTTCGCTTCTTAAACTCGAGACCATCGACTTCGCGGCGTAACGGCCCATCTGATGTGCCTGCGTCCACAGCCTCATTTGAAACCAGTGTTTCGCCCTCGGCCAGCCGGCGGTGCACACGTCTCCGGCAGCGTAGATATCCTTCCTCGAAGTTTCCAGCTTCCAGTCCACCGACAATCCAGCATCCTCCCCTCTTTCGAGCTCCTCCAACCCGCGTATGTCGGAATTTGGAGTGACGCCTGTCGCCGAGATAACAAGGTCGCACCCGATGACCTTGCCGTTCGTCAGTTGCGCGTAAATTGGCCACTCCTCTGCGGAATCGAACCGTTCTCGCTCGTCAGGGGTGAGCAGTCTCCCTATCTCGCACTCGTACTCAACCTGGACATTTGTGGGCGTGAAACGCGCGCCGCTCATGTCGAAGCTGTTGTGCCAATCCGGACCAAGAGCGGCACCGTTTTTAATCGGCGCGCTATCCGACACAACGTATCTCATTCTTTTGGTTGGCGAATTTTCTTTACCGGGGTTTCCTGACGTAGCGGATTTAGACGAAATCTTGTCCAAAAAGAATTCCGCAGCCCCGGGATCGACGAAGGTCGCGGAAATGTGCTTGTCCTTGATTACCCAGACAATCTCGACGTCCTTGACTTCGTGCACTACCTCGGTGGCGATTCCTCCGTTGCCAACAACCACGACCCTCCTGGCGTCTCTGAGTTTGTGAGAAAATTGTAACACGGATTCCGTGTCACGAATACCTACAACGAATTCGTTGCTTTCGGCTATCAGCTTGGGCTTCGCGCCAGTGCAGAGGCACAGCATTTTGAAGCTCACGACTCTTCCACCGCCGAGTTCCACCAGCTTCTTGACCGTGTCAATTTTAACCGCGCTATCGTGAATAACTCGTAGCATTTTATGCTTCTCGCTCAAGACCGTCGCGCTCTCTTCCTCTACGTCAAAGTGCATTAACGTTCTGCCTAGCGGAACTACATTTGTCACAGCTTTTACCAGGGGACTAGCGGTTATTAGAATTATACTTTCCTCCGGAGCGAGGAAGCTCAACCCTTCGACGCAAGATACTCCGGCTATACCGCCTCCTATTACGACAAACGTAGACTCCATCTTTTCCACATTTTCCTTGAATTCATCCATATTTAATGAAGGGGTATACAGCCGTTTCACGCAGTACGACGATATAAGCAATTAAAGATTAATTGTTTGACGGTTTCCACTCTGAATAATCGTACTGCCTTATAGGAACGTCGTACGTGATTGTCCCGTAATCCTTGGCCCTCATTAACGCAATTACAAGTTCTTTGTGTCTCTTTTGACAGATATTTGTTTTCCTGCAAACATATAAATTACACTGTAAAGTTATATATCGAAAGATATAAATGTTAATGGAGCAGAAATGTGTGTAAAGAACTATTAATAAAAAATGCTTACGAGTAACTCAGGACATTCCCGTTATGTTTGTCGATGAATTGCTCAAGCAGCTTGACGTTTCTATGATCAAATACGAGATATTCGTCTCTACATATGGGACATGGATTTCCAGTGGAAATTTGACCACTTCTCTAATTGATAATTATAAGGCATTATTAAAAATTTATCATATTATCGTATAATATGATAAAACGATAGAATATGCATACGTACTATACAAGTTCTTCGAGTTTTCCTAGGTGGAATGCTCCCTTTAAAATTTCTCCTATAGTGCTTCCATACCGGATGATCCCCATAAGCCTGCTTGTAAGCTGGATTTTGCAATCACGTGATAGTCATAAATTTGTAAAATAAATCTCACAGATAGTCACGTTTTATCAATCATGTTGAAAATTAACGATTTCTTACCATCGCTATTCATGTACTCGATACTAGTCTCTACTGGTATAATTGGTACACGCGCAACCTTGGGAGCTGTCTCTGCAGCTGCACTATCACCTTCAGTTGCATTTCCTTCCTCGGAACAACGCGTGAGCGAAAACGTGATAGCTCTCGCTGGATTAAACTGCAAGCAATTTACATCTATAAAGGCGACTTTGGCCAAACTTTGATTAAACTCAATTGGCGATTAACTCATTGAGCGGAATCTGTACTATTTCATCAATGTAGATGGAACAAGCTTAACTTCTTGTTGCTTAATACATGAAGAAAAAGGTTGGATTATAACAGCAAATTGCATAATTAGAAATCTTGCAGTGAACAATACTGCGATTGGATTAATTGCTGATCAAGTTAATCAGCAATCAATCAAGGAGTTCGAAGCAAAATTCTGAACAGCACAATTTGTCGTGCCTCTGACTTTATCGTCTTAATAATTCTATGATAAAATAATACAGATATCAATTGACAGGTTAATCACCAACTAAATTAACCGAAGAATATTGGTTTACTACACATCGTCGGCTTGAAAAACTCACTTTATGAGTTAAACTCGCTAGCGCCAATGTTCCTGCTCGATGTAACGTGTTCAGAATCGACATGCTCGCGAATATAACTGCGAAAATAAGATATTTATTTAATTAATGCACAATTACGTGTAAAACTTGGAATTACTGTAGAAATCGACGGCGCACGTGTCAGAGACAATAACCTCGAATTTACGATAGCAAATCTCGCAATATTTGCAAAATTGCAAATGATTGCGCCGTAAATCAAATGTATTGAGCATATTGTTATTAATACAGCATTATTAAATAATTTTTAATCGTAAAACAAACGTAATTAATGCGAAAAAGAAGGAAACTGCGTACATGTAGCTCGCTGTCGAAACTATGATTGCACTGTGTAAAATCTGTTCTTCGTAGTTGCACCACGTTGCACTGTATTACGTTTTCTGCACTCAAAACGAAACAGAATGTAATTAATTGTTGGAGAGAAAAAGAAAGATAGATATAAAAAGAGTACAGCTACAGCCTACTGACGCTACTGTCGTATCTACAGACATAAGGGTCTGTTCGTGTTGCCAGTAACTTTTTAGCTCGTTTTTCTGCAATGGATCGTATTTTTCACCACATATTTGTGGGGAAGGACAAGAAGCGTTCATTGGCTACTGCCGGCACTGCCGCAGCCAATGAGCTTTCCTCTCTTAGTCCTCGCGTTAACGCGACGCGACGCCGGGCGCGCCGCGCGCGGACCACAAACAAGCGTGCCATCCTTTCCGGTTGACGTATGCCGATGGAAGTGGAGTCGTTGCAGATATTAAATGGCACATACATTCGCGATTGCCGTGACGTAATTCCCGACTTGACGTTCCTCGTTGGATTGACTAAAATCGCAAACTATTTGTCGTCACGCGAAACGCAACTCGCGAGTCCCGACACGCGTCTGACGTCGCGCCTCATCGCGCTTTCGACCTTGCGCCTGACGCCAATTTGACGCATCCACGCAATGCGCAAGAGCAGGACGTAGCCGGGCGTCGAGCTGATCGTCATGGCATTTCCGCCTTGGTCGTCGGTTAGCAGCAGGTTTTTAGGCAGGCAGTCAGGTGAGGATCGTTACGTAGAAATCGTTTTGGGAATTAGATGACGGCTGAGGCGCGATAATCGGAGAGGTACGCGCGGACGGTAGCGACGACGGACTCTAGACCACGTTCAATTGCAGATGGCAAAGGGTACGGCGGAACGTGAGCGGATCACAAATGAGGGAGTAGCGTAGCCGCGCGGCTCGGATGCGACAGGAGGAGAAGTCCCACGAGAGCAGCTGGCGAGCAGCGGCGGACCGACTGTTCCGACTGTTCATTCTAGTTCAGGGAAATTGCATATTGCGATATGTCCAATTTCCTGCCTATCACCCATCGTGAACATTTAATTTCCGTAAAAAGGATTTAATTTTAATCGAATGTGAGTGCCAAAACTCCTATTCTCCAGCAAATGGAAAGACCGTTAGAAAAAAAAAGAGAAAAAATACGAGAGGGGGCAATGTTTAAGACTCGTTACATTCTATGTCCGTCTCGTCTGGCCTACCGAGATCATCCGATATTCGTCTTACGTACTGAGGTTTGAGTTCCGAGTAATAATCTGTCTCCCGTAATAACGATTTTGTACAAGGACGTTCGACGTGTTTAAGAGACAGCGCTATGGTCTCGAAAAAAAAGAGGTGAATCATGTCGAGACTGTATTGGTGACGTAATCCGCGCATTCGTGAATTTGGGTACACGATCGAGCTAGGTGAGAGGGTTCGAGAAGACTTAACACAAGTGCAATAATTGGATCGGTGTCAAGAGAGAACGTTCGCGACGAGTTTGCCTGCCTGTAAACGAGTGTCGAAAAGAAACGGAAAGTGTCGGAGGGTTTTTTTTTTTCTTCAATTTCATTTCAAATGCAAATCCTCGCGAAACCTTGGACTCGCGACCGACCATCTCTCTCACGGTGTGTTACATAAATAGAATGAATAATAGGAACAATGAGAGAACGTCGGGAAGGGGCGAGCGGCGCGTCACGCGAAGTGACAGATCGCAGAAGCGTAGGTGGCGGCCGTTATTGGCCGGCGCAAGGAGGCGCTCTCGCTTCCGATTGGCTGGCCCCGCGGAACGGGCGGACGGGTGGGGGATATGCGCCGCGGCGGCTGCGCACTGAACGTTCGCGGGTAGTCGAGTGAGAATTACCGTTGCGGAGTAGCCGCACCTCGTTATCCTTGCCCACGTCTTTGAGCATTTTTAACGAGCGGCCGTTGCCGAGTCCCGCTAACGTAGCTATTCTAGAGCGAGAGAGAATGATACAATGGTAATTGCGTAACTGTAAACGTAGTCGAAACGTAGGGAGGGCCAGACGCGAGAATTTTCGTCCCGGGGGGGAATCGCCCCGAACGGCGGAATGTCCGACGTCCCCGTTATGGCGTCGATGATTATCGCGCGGCACGCGGTCGTATCTTCGCAGAGGCGAGCCGACCGAGCTTGATTGGAAATTCCGACGACTTGTACTCGGAAGGAAATTCCCGAGCTGATCGAGGCGACGAGTCGACTCGAGATCCCGCGGTCTTCTTGGTCGGGCGATTACGTGTATCAGCAATATGGCGTGATATGGAGTGCGTCGCTTGTTCGCGCGTCCGCGATCCGTCCGACGCAATTATCATCAAAGCATTTTTACGTTTCGTTGCAGAAGCGCGAGCGTAGGATCCCGCATTCGAGGCCCGGTTCACGTCCGATGTGATGAAAATGCGTTAAAACCTGAACGTCAGCAAAATGGTGAGTATGGCATGAGATTTTTTTTTTCCGCATTCGTATCGTCATAAAGCTCGTGGCGAACTTTCTGGCGAGCGCGTAGCTCGGAAGAGATGGCGCCACCCGGCTCGACGAAGGCCGAAGGATCAATAACCTTTGCCCCACTCTCGACCTCGTATTCCACTTTGCCGTTACGAAACCCCCGCGTATTTACCGACATACGAAGATTATTCAATTTGCCGTTATTACCCGTGGGTGTATAACATGCTATACAAATTATCTGAATAAATAATGATAAATGAATAGACGAAATTGCTTCTATTGTTATCGTATAATATAAAATACGAAAAAGGATTGATTTTATGCATGAATGATTCCTAAAATCTTTACATTTAATAATAAATAAAAGTAATGAAAATTATTCTAAAATCATTCTTATGATTTTCTAAAATCATATCTAAAATCAGAGAAATTTGAAGGATATATTTAAATTTATTGAATTTATATTTAAAAAATATTTTAAAAAATTAAATACGAGAATTTTATTTACTGAAAAATATTCTTTAAATTATGGTCTTAGTATATAAATCAAATATTTTCCAACTATTTGAAATTTATTTTGACCTTTATATTTAAATCAAGTACAGAGAAGTCAGAATATTTAACTGGGGTAATACGGAAATTTAAATACAAAAATACTAACTTTTTGATAGCACTAATATTAATATATTAATATTAATTATTAATGAAATTTATTAATTTCACTAATATTTTTTTAACACATTAATATAATTATATTGAACATAGTTCTACTGTAGTGAATAATTTATATACAAGGTGTCTATTGTGTTTAAAAAATCTGGAATTTTTTTTCTTTTTAAAATTGAATTGTTTGAAGAAATTTTATTCTCTTTTGAGAATTGTATGTCACAAACAGTGACAGCTGATCCAATAGTCAATCAACTAAATTGATGACATATTTTTATAGCGAATTTAAAATAAGTTTATGAGGAATTTTATTGAGTTAGTAAATTTTCTTAAATATTTTTTTCCTTTTATGCTCAATGTTTCAGCAAGTATCAAATAAATAATCTTCAATTTGTTATATCTTCAAGAAATAAAAAACAAATTTTTATTTTATGTATAAAATGCTTTTTTTCTATGCAATATTCTCTATTTCTTGTTAGTATTTTTTATTTTTATGTTTGTGAAGCTTAAACAATTCTTCTTTTTATATAATTCATTATATCCACAAGATATAATATTGAAAACTGATAATCTTATGGAAATTGGATATTGGACAGCCGTCAAAATTTGAATGATTAGCTTATAATAACAATTTTATGATTTATTATTATCTTGGTGATTTTTATAGATATATACATATGTCTACAATGAGTATTTGGTTTTTATTTAAAGCTATATATTTTTATTATTATATATGTATCTGATATGTCATCCATTCATTCATACATGACAATTATGGAAAACAAAATGCAGTTTTGTAATACTATATATGAAATTATATTATAAATATTTATATTTTTTTATGAAACATCTACACAATAATAAATCATGAATTTAATATTGTATTATAGGCTAATTGTTCAGATATTTGTATCGAAACAGTCTAAAATCTCTAAAATATCTATAATTTTTAGTTGTTTCCTCTCTTCATATGACAACAAAAAATGTATCTTTTTATAAATCTAAGAATAAGAAATAGTAAAAATTTACATTTATAAATTTTTACACAAAAATTTAATTTCATACAAAATTTTTTTTAACAAAAAATATCTTTATGGCTGAGAATTTCTTAAGTTTTTCTGCAAGATTTAAATAGATACCTTGTATATTTTATATTTTTAATAATTTTTTTTTTCTGAGTTGAAGCATTTTTTATTCTTGAATGTACCAATAATGTTTTTCTTCTTAAATTGCATTTTCCAGCCACGTATAGATCCTCTATCGTTACTCAAATGCCTTAGCGTTTTATTGGGTCCAACAGGAGGTATTAAGAGTAAAGAAGAAGTTCATCGATTAGCTAATTTAATGACAAAATTTTCAAAGAAGCTTGTTTCAAAATGCATTTATATACAAATATTGAAAACCACTAATACGGACTTGCTTAGTCAGTAAGTACTTAAATAAAATTTAAAATATAATTAAACATATAATATTAACATTTAATTCACATTTTATTCTATTATTTTTTATCTCAATTAAAATAATTAATAATTAAAGTAAAAGAAATTTATTATTGAGCATGTTGAGATACACAAGTATATATAATCGTATGTTTGTGTAAAAGAAAGTATAAACATGCAAGAGAAAATTATAAGAGGCTCAGAACCATTAGACGGTGCTTATTATGTGCCGTTTTTACTGATACGGGCCTGACATCTCAATTTTAATCTAAAACTTATTTAGAATTTTACAATTTGTTTTTTAAAATCTATGTATAATTGTTGAAATTTTTTTGTAGAAGAATAATGATTTAAAAAAGACTAAAAATATAGTTATATAAATATCGTTTGTTATTTACATAAATTATTATTTTAACATTTATGGAATTAATATATCTATTAATTATTATTTTAATATTTATGGAATATTATATTTATTAATATATCTATTTTCATATATCATATATTTTAATATTTATGGAATATTATATTTATTAATATATCTATTTTCATATATCTATTATTCTTTATAATATTGCATTTTTAAACCGTAAAATTAGAATTTGAAGCATATAATTTAAGATAACACGTTATACAATAGCACAAAATAATAAATTATTTTATATTTTATGCTATCTCTTTTGCAGATTTATGAGCGCTGGAGGATGGAATCTCATTCACACGTGGCTCACTGATGGCATTCTTGCCAAGAACTGGGCCCTCATTCAAGAACTCCTCGAACTTCTGCTGCTCTGTCCAGTAGATATCGAACGGTTGAAGAGTAACAATTGTCCAAAGTTGATTAAGGGTTTGTCGAAGGAAGGTAGTCACCAAGGTGTTCGGACATTGGCCAGTCGACTCGTGGAACAATGGCTGAAAATTGTAAAGGGAGAAGCGGCGCCGAACTCGGTGCCAGCTCAAATCATGACGGTTCCAGGGCAGTCAAATGCCACCGTTGGCCAAACCGCCATCATAGCATCACAGCAGCAGCAGCAGCACTCTGCGAACAATCAGCAAGGTGTAGATGCTGTCGAAACTGCAACTGTTCACATGCAGGACTTCAAACTTGCGCAGTCTACCGCGAGTATTTCAATAAATCAGCAAGATCAAGAGAAGCAGCAACAAACACTGCAGGAAAGGTTACAACCGCAAACGGTGCAAGTCGTCGGCAAGGCTCAGCAGGTACAACAGCAAGTAACGCAACAGCAATGTAAAAAGCAGCAATTTGTTGTTTTACCGACGGGTTCGTCACTGCCTGTTTATAAGATCACTATTCGCGATGGCAATCAGGTCCTCGCGAAGGTAGAGACGGACGCTGCAAATATAAGTAACGTCCTGAATGCAACGGGTACGGACAGTGAACACATCCTGAATGTTCAGCAGGAGGTGAGATCGGAAGTGGACGAGTTTGACGAGACGGAAGAAAATAGCAGTGCGACTGGTGGTCGAGACGATGTAATAGATGTTGTACATACAGACGATTCCGGACACGTTCCTAGTGAAGTGAAACAAATTGTAGTTAGTTCTAAAGACAATCAGGATGAAGGTGTTAAAAGTAAAGACTCTAAGGACATTATCAGTAGTGATAGCGGTAAATCTAGTGACAAAGAAAATAGAGATTCTCATAAAAAAGATGATAAAAAGTCAAGTAGTAGTTCCGACAGTAAGAAAAGTAGCGGCCATCATCACAGTTCGTCTTCGTTATCGTCGTCTAAGAGCTCTAAGCATGGCACGAGTTCTAGCGCACATCGCAGCAGCTCCACATCCCATAGATCCAGTAGCCACCGTTCGGGTTCTAGTAGTAGTAGTTCCAAAAACTCCAGCTCCAGCAAAGACAGGTCTTCCAAGGATAAGGACAAACATCACTCCAGCTCATCCAGCAAGCACAGTTCAAATAGGAGTAAATCCGAGCGAGACAAGGAGCGGGAGAAGGAGAAGGAGAAACAGAAGAAGGATCAGGCGGAGAAGGACAAGGCGACACTGGAGAAGGTGCAAGGTCAGGCCTTGAGCTCTAAGATGGGCAAGATACCGAAGAAGCGAACGGAAGATGAGAAGTCGGGCGACGCGAGGAAGTCCTCGACGGAGTCGCGCGACAGCTCGAAGGAGAATAAAGAGAAGACGGATTCGAAGAAGGACGCCGTTGCAGCGAAGCTCATTGCCGAGAAGAAGAACATTTCCATATCCATTGAGAATAGAAAGAATAGCCAGGACTCGGGGATGCGACCGAAGACGGTGAAGACCTTTAATTCGAAATTCAGATCTACGGGCCTAGAGGAAGAAGTAAAACCACCACCACCCAGATCGAAGAAGGCGGCTCCGGTTGTTGACAAGAAGATTCTGCCTCCAAAAATACCTTTGAAGAGACCATCGCCGTTGAGAGACGTTCCACTGGCGGAAAAACGTATGAAGGTATCACTGGATTCACCAACAACCCCACCAAGCGATGAGAAAAAGGGAGGGATTAAGCTGATTCCACCAAAACCTAAACGTAAGTATACTAGTATCCTGTTTCAAACTATATATAAAATTTCTTTATTAATACATGATCTCTATCATAATTTTCTTTTAAAATACTGATACTTTTATCTTAATCTAAATGTAAACATATATTGCTAATGTTCTTAGATAAAGCAGTCTATAAATTAAATTTTTAATATTATGCAGAAATTATTTTTATATTACCTAGAAATTACTCAATATGAGATTAAACTCTTGTTTCATGTGATATTGGAAATATGAAACCTCAGAAAAAAAATTTTTATTGAATTATTAATTTTAAGGAAATTAAACGTAGAAAAAAAATAGTACAAATTATTTACGAAAACAAAAAAATATTTTTTAATAACATCTTATTAAAGTAAGAAAATTTATCAAGAGCATAGAAAATAGTAAAAAAAGTATAGTATACAGAAGTAGAAAATTTAATACATACATATATACTAATTTATTGAAAAAAGAATTTTTATAACACTTGAACACTCATCACAAATTTTGTTTTATTTATAAACTTACAATTTACTAATATATTTTTACATATTTCGTATATCTCTCTTTCATAATTTCGTTTATATATTTAAAACTATCATATTTTTTAACTATATGCATATACTTTGTACCTTTTATTTATATTAACATATATTCTCAATGAAATCGAAGTAAATAATTAAATATATAAGTGTAATTGTATTTGATTCGTAAGATTTTTATATTCTATTCAGAAATGTTATTAGTTTTTAGCAGATGTGTATTATTATTCATTTGCAACAAGGCTTTATATAATGTTTTTCTATATTACACATTATACAGGATTTAAGTTCTATTTTAGTGAAATAATAATGATAAATGAATAAGGACTGCTTAAACTTTGTACATTGGCATGCTGCATTATATATATATATATATATATATATATATATATATATATATACATATATACATATATATGACTTACTAACTCTGTAATATTGAGTTCGCAGGTGGCTGGATTCAGAAGACAAATCGTCACATCTGGTATTTTTATCACAAATATCGACAATTTCTCTCTTTTCTTTTGATGTTACGTCGGACATTTATCTATGTATCTTTAACTTATTACTTCTTTCAGGCATATCTAGCGAAATATTTCTTAATTGTATGTATTCTTTCTTTATTTTCCCCTAAAAAAACCATTAGCGTCTCATAGAAGATATAATAAGCCGTAACGATTTATCCATTGGAGAGAATTAACGACTGTGTTTGTGTGTTACACCTATGACAATAAACATCTGTCATAGAAGAACGAAGACATTCGACCACTGAACTTTTTCGTATATTAAAAATCTTCGATTCAGCAGGTAATCTTCGATAAGCTATTCCTCATAACGTGATTTTTTTTAAATCGATATCCACGCCGAAGAAATATATGTATACATATACACACACAAATATATGTATATATATATATATTTGTGTATGTATATATATACACACACACACACACATTTGATTGTTGGTCAAGTAATTTCCGTCGTTGAACGCAATGGTAAAGAAAAAAAAGTGTATTGTCAGTCATTTACGGATAGCCGTGTTTTAATTTCTGACCTGAGTGAACGCAACGATACTATGAAGCCATCACGCAGGAATAGTTCTAATCTCTTTTACTAGGTAAGGCAACAAAATCTTGTCTATTCATATATATTTTTTCCCTTGTACATGTATACCCTATTTAAATATTTAAATAAATTTATCAGAAATCTAGAAATATTTAACTTAATGGATTTTTACATATATCGTTCGCTGTTAAATGCTTTCAAACCGAAATAATTGTATGTATCGCGAGCCCATCCAGATTTCCATCCTCTCGTTGATTCTTAACGTGCCGAGTGTAACGTAGATATTGCTATAAATTGTTCGATTTCTTTTCTTTTGGGGAAAAATATGTTGACGTCCCTCGAATTAGATTGTTGCGTTTAAATGTAAGTTCTTAATCTTTCTTTTATTTACACAAAAACAGTTCCATTAATCGTCGAATATATACATTGAAATATTTGTTGCGAAATATATACTCGAAATAGGAATATCTGGTTCAAGGCATATAATACGGAGTTATTATTGTCGTAGCTTTTTCACATGTACATGACAAATTTGTGAATTTATTAGAGAGAATTGAAATTTGCGTGGGGCAAGTGAACTCCTTTAATAATAGAGAAAGAGAGAAAGCAAGCAGAGAGAGGAAGGGAGCGAGAGAGAAAGAGAGACATAGCGAAAGGGGGAGAGAAAGAAAGCATGTAAGGAAGGACTGAAAGGCGGTTGAAAGGCTGTGGCTGAGAGAAAGAAGAGAGACTGGAGGAGAAAATATAGTAGAGCAACGTTGAATAATGCGGTGGACCTACGAATTGAAAGTCTTAGCACTGAAAGTGCACGAATTCCGAAGCTGCATATTCGACGTCTTCGAGCAAGAAGGCCTCTCGGACCGGCAGGCCCCCCTTTACAACATCCGACATCGTCGGCATGGCGAAGAGAGTCCTCTTTGCCAATGTCGTGTAACTGTACGAAACTGAGAGAAAGAGATATAACGGTCGTAAAAAAAAAGGGAAAGGAAAAGATATGGACGACGTAGGTCGCGCTCCAAAATTTGCTCAACCGTCTCGATACATCCGAGATTCTCTTTTCACAGTTCATTTGAATTTGATAGAAAATGATGTTGTAAAGAAATTATTCAAACAATCTCACAAAATTTGTCACATGCACACAGAGTGTAATGTTTCTTTTTCGAAATTATTCGCAATGTTTCTTCTCTTTGCAATAAGTCGCTTTGACGGAAAAACGCGTAGCATGTTTACAACGGAAAAAAAATCGTGTAACGCGACTCGCGCTTCAATATCTTTCTCGCGGTTCCGGCGCGGCGTCGATGACGTCGACTGTTGATTTTCGCGCAAATTTTGGTGCGACGATCTCGCTCCTCAGGAAATTGCATAAGAATATTTTTAAAAATTTTTTTTTAAAACTGAAGCGCGTCCGCATCGGGAGAATCAACGGGGTGCTCGGGATTCGCCCCCGCGTGTTGGCAATAAAATTTTTCTCCTCGCATCGCGACGATTTCGGCGTCGCGAGTTCGGACCCCCAGGTTTCGGGGGGTCGGACTCACGCACGACACCGGGAAGTTTGAACGGGAGTCGCGCTTTCGCGTGAGGTGCGTACCGTCATCGTCATCGTCGTCGCCGCCGCCGCAGGTCGACCGATGTTTTTGCGACCGTCACCACGCCGCCGTACGTGGTCCGTGGTCCGTGTGTGTGCTGTCGTCGGCCAGTGTGCGTGTGCACCACGTTACGGAGCCCTACGCCTACTAACCATTCGACGCACATCGACCCGCGCGCCGGACTTGTGATACTCGTTGCGCGGTATCCGCCGCGCCGTGATACTTGCCGAGGATGGAAGAACTATTCCATTCGATCGCGTGCAAATACATAAATAATTCGCCCAGTATATTATTTTTTTTCTCCTGATTTATTGATACGTAATTTATGGCTGTTAACGTGTTTATTATGCAGCCGCGAATCCGTATGAAAGAGCGTGAAAGCGTTTTTCTACGTTTCTCACGCGTGTTTTGTATACATATGTATTTTTATGATGCACGTGGAAAGATATTCTATTTTTAATTTATAACATATAAAACAATCTATCTATTATCTAGATGGCTATAGATGACTTTATTTAATTATCAGCTTTCTCAGCACATTTAAAAATCGTGGAGTTTAACGGATCATATTCAAATCCTGTTTTTTTTTTAAATAATATCGAAAAACAAAAATCGTTTTTTATCAAGCATATATCTTCAAATAATATATTTGAACAGCATTAGGTCTCTGTGTATAACGAATAAAAGTAATATACTTGCACTAAATAATCTTGCAAAACAAAATGTTTGCAGAGTATCTACATCAGATAGAATATTTTTTTATTTCTTTTTTTTCAACATTGACACGTTGTCAGGTTGTAAATTGTTAAGATAATATTTAAAATTAATAAGCAATAAGAGCGACGAGTTCAATTAAATGTATAAATAGGATAGTGTCTCGAATGAAACAGAAATTTATTTCGAAGCTGTAACTCAATTATTTTACTTGTAATCCAAATTATAGATTAAAGTGACACTGCGCTTGTTGCTCTTTTTTTAGAACGCGCATCTGAATTTATTTTTGATAAACGATATTTAATATATGACACGATTAAAAAAGTGTATGCCGGATAGAAAACTTTTGTTGGACTGAACAGAGTAATATTCACCAATATTTAATAACGCATTTATTATTTATACAAATAATTTCAAACACATTCGAATTTTTGGTCTCGATCTCAATTAGCACTATTAGGCAGAAAACTTTTACGTTACATTATTACATTTAAAATTTTAAATTGTTGAGAGGCCTAAATTGCTGAAAGGGGAGCATTTTACTGATCATTGAAAATACATTTATAATATCAAACGAATATAAAATGAATACTGAAAAAATAAGACGGAAATGAATACGAGAACGCTTCTATATTTTTGTATTAATTTAATTAGAGATATGAACGATGAGAATTGTAACGATTTATTTCTATTGTATATATGTATATATTTAAGTTTCACTAGTTTATTTTAGACATGCAATTGGAATCGTTTATATTTTTGTTGTTTGCACGAATATATACGTGCAATTAAGCAGACGTAACTTCAAATGTATTTCTCTATTATTAATGAGATACTATAAATTTAATTTTAACGAATTTCAAGTTTTCCAAGATTGCGAACTTTACGCATCGTTATACAATTTCCAATGTGACGCGATGCGAATGCATTTAAACACCGAGGATGGTGTCACAATTTTGTATACGACCACTATTCGAAAGAAATTATCTGCTTAGAGAACAGATAAATGTTTTTTTTTATTTTTTATCATAGATTTTCTGTGTGAAAATAAAAAAAATATTATACATAAACAACCCTCTTCCTTAATTTTTATGTCAATGCTATCAGTGTATACTGGATAATCTCTAATATCTGAACTGTAACTCCGTTATCCTGTTCATTATTTGAATTTGTGGATATTGGAGTATCTGAATATTCAAAGCTGAATATTGACAGCATTGTATCCTTTAAAATTTTGAAGAACGGTTAGCTTAATGCGAATTCTATTTTGTTTATATGTTGATAAAAAATTCATACGAATTAAGGCTTTTATGTATTATTTATAAGTGAATATAAATGATGATAAATTCGCATGTTTTACTATGTTAAAATACATTTTTAATTATTCTTTATGTTAAATCGCGATTTAAAAAAATGATGAATGAGCAATATTTTGCTTAATCGTGTTGATATAATATTTATGTATTTAATAGCACACATTTTTGGTGCTATGTATATATATAAATTCTGATTTTTACAATTTGTAAAAATCAAGATTTTACTAAAACATTTTTAATTAATTTTGTATTTTCGTAATAGATTTTTATTGTAAAGATATATTATAAAGACAATTGTAATTTATACACAATTGTTATGAATTATTTTCGTCTTTTCGTTTCTAATTTTTTTTATTATGAATACACGTTATCGAAATTGTTATTTCTATTTTGTATAATTTTTATACGATAATAGAATAAATATAAAAACTACTTTTTATTCCATAAAAAATATTCATTTAAAATAATACCTAATATTCTTTTACTTTTCAGCGTCATAATTATAAGGGTTATAGTGATGATTCAAAGAGATCTGTGGACACATACTATGTTTTTTATATATAAATCGTGTCGATTTGCATGGTTTTAATTTGCCTTATGAACTACAAAAATTCATTATAAAACTTCAAATATTTATCACATGTTAGAAAATTATTGATTCATATTCGATATAACGAAGATTTTTGTTCACATATAATTGACATATTTATTCTTGTGCTTTCCTTGTGCTTTCTTCTATTATTGTAATATTGCATGCAACATAAAATTTAATCTTGAATATATTTTATCCAGTTTAATAAACTAAAATTAATTAGAAAAAATTATTTAGAGAAACACGTTACTTCTTCTCTGAAATATTAAAATATTACATGTTGAGAAAAAGATAGTTTAATAACAAAGTTTAAGAGCTCTGAATGAATGTAGTTGATAATATATAATCATATCGGATGCGTAATTACTTTTTCTTAAAAATCCTTATATTCTGATTTATACTTATGTTGCATTCTATTCTGTACGGCTTGTATATCTATAAACGAGAAATAACATCATTATTGTCTAATTTGTTTCCTAATTATTTTTGTATTATTTATATAACTAATACATGTTATTTATATACTAATATTCATTCAATATAAGAAACCCTTTTAAAAATATACTAGTTTAAAATTTTTTACAGGACCTTCTATTATCTTTTCTTACAGGATATTTGTAACAAAATTGAAGACAAGTTCTTTTTGGCAAATAAACTATCGTTAAATTCCATGGAAGAAAGTTCGCCAGCATGAAAGGACTGATGTTTTACTTGCAGATATCAAAAAATAAAAAAATCTTTCTTATTTTTTCAGATACCGAATACTATTAAAGCAACGAGTTGTCATGATTTTACTATCGGCATATTTTTACATAACAAGTCACACTCATTTAAGAAACAATGACATAAGATTACAGTTTGAAAATACATTTAATAATTATACAGGTATTTCCTGATATTTAGGCATAAATTTTATAAGTAAATTCAACAACTAGCTTATTATAAAGAGAAAAATAGCTTATTATAATATTCTTGAAGTGTTAGATCAAAATTATCGAAACGTAAGAATTATTTAATGACAAGAACAATCGGAATTGGGATTTCGGAAATGGGATAGAAATTATAACGTATAAAATCAGTCATGAAAGACTGATCACTTGTTTTGTCATCCTCACGCGAAGAATTTCTTTGTGGAAATTGTGTTTGCGAAATTATGCCTACGTTAGGAAAAACGCTGTATATTTATACATTTCGTATCGCTGCTTTTCAGAATTGTTTCAAGCAGAATTTTCAGGACGTACTCCAGCTCTATTATTCCTTTTAGAAAATTTTTAAATCTTGAAGATTTATTATTCTATTTTGATGTCGTATACATTACAGGAATTCTCATGTTAACGTTTCTCCATTGCTTTCAGTTTCAGATGCCAAAACAGCCAAGTTAAAATTAAATTTTGTAAAATGTTTTGTTTAAAGATTTACTGATAGAAAAGCTGCTTCGATTATTCGGCCGTTTTTCTCGTCGTGCGCACTGCAGAGATTCTCTACTAATGTTTCTCCATTGCTTTCAATTTCAGATGCCAAAACAGCCAAGTTGTCGAGACTAAATTTTGCAAGACGTTAGCTAAAAGTTTATTGACAGAAAAGCTGCAAATTCGATTATTCGGCTATTGTTTTTTCGTCATTTACAGATAAATTCTCAAATTTTTTAAAACAAATTTTTTTTTAAATTTTCAGCGATGATGCTGCAAGAGAGCGACATGTTCATGGATGCTCTTACTGCGTCTACCAAAAGCAAGGAGCCGAGGAAGCGTAAGCGGAGAGCTTCTATCACGAAGGACGGGACCACGGAAGCTAAAAAGCAGGAAATCGCTAACGCCGACAATCAACGCGAGAGCACACCACCACCTACTTCGCCCTCGAATGCCGAAGAGAAATCGCCGGTTGCTCTCAAACCCAATTTCAAGGTAAATATCCTGCACATAGGATTGAATATAATTACAAAATTAATTAATTACGAATAAACGATTTACGAAATCTTATTTTTTTACAGTTCTATCAAGACACGCTGGAAATAGAAGAAGACAAAGATCAAAGAGAAAAAGAAAGTGGCGAGGAGGAATCGAGGAAGGATAAAGATCAGATACTGGATGAGGAGAAAGATAATAGAGACGATGATGAAATTGGAAGTAACAGTAAGTATTTTATCAACTTATTGAGTAGAGAAAAAATACCATTAAAAAATTACACTTCAAAAAACCATAATATTACGTTCGCCTTTATATCATTTATATAATGCATTAATATTTTTTGTACATTAAAAATGAATATGTTATTAATATAATACATTTTATTACAAATATTTTATAATTAATATATTTTATCATAAATGCATAAACATTAATTACGATACGTAACATTATAAATATTTCGATCGTGAAATTAATTAATTAAAAAATAAAATTAATTTTGTCTAAACAAATAATTAATATATATTTATTTTTATCGCAGCACCGACGCCCGAGGACGATGTGGAAGATATCAAAGATGTAGATTCACCAGAAGATTCGTCTTCGATAATTTCGGATTCGGCGAAAAAGGATGGATCCTATCCCGAAATACGATATGTGGACGGACTTAAAAGCGTTCTGCTACTTCAGAAACGTAAAGGGCCGAAAAAGGTTTTGAAGTGGAAGGCAGATTTAGAATCTATACGTTACTTCGAATTGGACGAAACGGAAAGAGTTAATGTGACAAAGACGTTTACTGATATGAAGCAGATGGAGAAGCAAAACGAGAGGGAGGCATTCCAAATGGCCAGAAAATTAAGTATGTACACGCAAAATAACAATATAATTCTTTTAGCTACAGTTACATTATGAAGTATCTATTTTTTGTATAAAGTACAATCATATGTATACTTGAAGATTATTTTGCAGTTATTTGTTTAAATTATTTTCATTGCATGCATGACATATATATATATATATATATGGAATGAATATATTATATATATATACAAAATATAATTTATATAATGTATAAAATGCTTTTTTGTATTATTAGATAGTGAAGATGTAATGGAGGAGAAAACGAGATGGAAACCTTTAACTCCGATTGATCTACCGCCTCCGTTAGTGGAGCCTGGCAAGGACAGCAAGGAAAAGGATATCCAATATGCTCGCGAGAAGGGCATTCTCCAAGCTCTTTACTTTAATCGAAGCATGTACGTAATAATTCCGTTATTTTAATTACATTTTGTGATAAAGAGATGATATATTTTTATTTAGAATATTTATTTAATATAAAATATAAAAATGGTGAATTTTATGTAGGAGAGAAAAATATTGACACATATATCTCTATATTAACATTTTTACTAAAAACTTTTTATGCGAAATATATCATACTCAAATTTTCAGTTGGTCAGTTGAAAGATTTCAATTTTTATCATTTTTGTATTATAGGATTCCAGACTCTGCGGCTGAACCCGATGAAGAGCGGCACGTAATGACTGACCCTAAAATAATACCGTTAGAAGATCTCACAGGTAATAAAGAGAGCGAAAAGGACTTCACAGCGATACCGTGGCCGGAACCTAAGCCACAGCCTCCGCAGCCATCGACTGTAACGACGTTCCACTATCCGACGACGTATCCGCACAACCAGCAAGGGATGATGACAGCTATGGGACCCCAATCGACAATGGGCCCCATGCCGCAAATACCCCAGCAGATGATGGCTCCCACGCACATGGCTCCCATGTCTCAGGAGATGGCAGGGCCGATACCGGCCACCGGCGGTGGTGGTTGGAGAACGGGCGACGGTAAAGTCCTCGTGCCGGACGTCAGTATGAATCCGATGGCAAACATGTCGGGTGGTTTCAATCAGGGGATGGAGGGTGGTCCCATGGTACCACCGGGAATGATGGGACCACCCCCCATGTACCCCAATCAAGAGGGCTATGGCATGATGTGCCCGGATGACATGGGATACAATAACTTCCAAGGTCCGCCCGGGCCGATGTACGGTCCTGGGCCTAACTTTCCGGGTCCGAGGGGCGCCCATATGCACAACAGAGGTAGAGGTGGTCCCGGCTGGGGATACCGCGGGCCTGTCAGAGGCGGTTGGAGAGGTGTCGGCGGTGGATGGCGAGGAAGTGGAAAACAGCCACCGGTATGTAGACAGTTTTCGAAAAACGGTTATTGCCGAGTCGGTGACAAATGCCAATATCTTCATCCCGGTGTAAACTGTCCGCCGTTTTAAAAAAAAAAGTGGGAAGTGGCCGGAACAGTGATACCGACAATTAAATTGGATAGTGATTTAATGTACTGATTGAGTGATATCGAAAAATATCTTAAATTGGAGGTACCCAAAAAGTGACGAAGGAGAAGAAGAAGGGACTTACTTTGCGGCGTTTTAATGATATATGTATGGTACCGATGTTTTTCAATCTGGGATTCTGGGGTCATATCGACGAGAATTGACTTGGAAAGCAGATTGAAGTGTGCCCACCAACATATAAAACACCCAAAGTGAAAAAAGTCGTAATATCACATTCATTGTGCAATTTTTTTTACGCATTTTGCATGACTACATGAGTAATATTTCTATCTGATAATACTCGATGAGTTCAACAAGTTCTTCAACAAGTTATATGTAAATATGATGACGTTTTTAATGAATGCAGTATAAAGTTGTCACAGCATTCGATATGGTCGATCATACTCGCAAAATTGTAAAATTTAATTGTAACGATACCAAATTCATATCGGCTGCTGGACAGCAAGATTATTTCCAAATGGCTCAATTTGGGAAGATTACTAACATAATCTTCTTTTTGGTTCCTTCAAATCATATATATCTTTGTAATTATACGATGCATTTGAGTATAAGATTTCCCCCTCCCCCTTTTTTTCATCTTCCTTTACATATATATTTACTATTATATGAGGCCATTACCGAGATTATGGTTATTTAATACATTTTTGAAGTGCGATTCAAAAAAATTGCAGATAAAGATAAATCGATCGAATTATATTAAAGTGACAGCTGAAGTGTTCTATACACATACACATTCTTGAAATGTTATTGAGAATTATGCTGTACATTGTCACTGCTTCGTACGTAAAATAATAGAATTCTGAGAGGCAACTAATATCCTATAGTGAAATTCCTAATAGAAAAGGAATTTCAATACGACAAGCTCATACTTTTGAGCATGGTGCTGCGTCCTGCTAGAAGCGAAAGTCTAACAAGAAAAAAAAAGATGCAAACAAGTTCATACTTTTTTTATCGTAATATTAATAATTTTTATGTGTAGATTCCTTGTAAATATGTTTGCATAATATATACATAAGTAGATTATTCTCTATATAATAAGACTGTTAGATTTAGTTCTGTAATAATGAGGAGACCGGAGCGGTAAAATATTTAATGGGAAACATATGTACACACGTCCTAATTAAAGTAGAATAATCGGTCGGAATATTGCTCCAACTAATTTCCCCAAGTTTGATGTACAAAATCATGTAACGATTCTTTGTAACTTATAACCGTCGTGGTAATGCAAATTTTTTACCGTGTAAGATGGTGGATTACACCTTTTTGTATATGATTGATCGTTATGTTTGTATATATAAACAATGTTGTATAAGCGTTGCTTGAAAATACACCAGTCATAATTATTTTTTAAAATCGCCCAATAATTTTGTGAGTTAATAAAATATCCTTTATTATATATAATATAGCATTATAATATCACTAAAACAGTAAAGGTATTTTGTACTAAAGTTCGTGTTGCGTCTATTTCGTTTACTCTATTAAATTCATTCAGTTTAACAAAGTGATCCGTAACATATATTTCAATGTAAGCATAAAGAGATAATTACATTATCTTATATTCGAAGATAAAAGAGATTGTAGGAAAATCTCCGAAGACACTCGATTATAATTCAATTGCACGATGTACATACAAAGTAGCGTGTGAAGTTTTATAAAGATTGGACATAAATAAAAGTTCTTCAGAGTCACACGCACATACGCACACACATACACAGAGTAAGATGTACATACAAAAGAGAGATCTCTCTGTAAACATGAGTAACAAAATTCGTTAAATTTAAATTCTATTTAAATTGCTGAGGCGGAGGTCCGAAGATACTGCCGCTCTGCTTACTCGCGGTTCTGGATGGCGCGAAGCCAAGCATTTTCTGGATGTTCTAGAAACGAGACGATGGCAAAAGAGAATTTTTTTTTCCTGGGCTTACGATCGAGACACGGATCGGAGGACTCTCACTTACCTGCCTGATACTCATGGTGCACAATATGTACAGGAATATGAACGAGCACTCCGTGTAATCATCGCCCGGCAGATTTCGGTGCGACAAGCCCTGTATCCAGCTGATCGGGACGAACGGCAGTCTGGCGACCACTCGCCCGTCGAATATGTTGTTGAACATGCTCAAGAGCGCCGTGAACGCGAACCCGATCGCGAACATCGACTTCATCTTCACGAGGGACAGGTCCCGATTGTTGTTCTTCAACCTCTCCTCCTCCCGTTCGATCTTCTTCTTCTGCTGCCTGTCCAACGAGTCGCCGTGTGCCTCTTTCCTTTTCTCCACTGAAAGATGAAAGGCGCGTTAATACAAGCCTCGCACTGTGCACAACGGGGACGTCTCGGGGCGAAAGCACTCACGCTTCTTGCTCTGCTTCTCGACCTCGGCCTTCAGCTTTTGATACTTCTCAGTTCTGTAGACCATCAACCACGTCAACCCTAAAACAATACGATGTAAAGCAGCTCGTATATGTACATCGAAGCGGATAAACGTGAATGCACGTGGAATCGAAATAAATAATCGTTTCACCTGTCCTCATATTCCTCATCCACGTTTATTGATACACTAGTGCTCTTACCTTCGCCCAGCAACGCCGTGCATATGCTGATAAATAAAATCAGGATAGTGTCTGCCCACATGTTTGCGAGTTTTTTCTACTTCACACCTCGTACAGCTCGACGCGATCACTCCGCATAATAAAGAATTCCGATCGACAATCAACCGGAGAGATTCCCTCTCGATAAGCCGTATTTTTACTACTAGAATCGACGAGTAAACACGAGGCTAAGCGTATCAAAATCGCGAAACGATGTATCAGCGCTATCAGCAGGTAGGTTGAAACGTGGTCTCTCTTTCGACGAGTTCCGAAACGCATCGCAACGCATCGGTTATTGTGCTCAATAAAGCTCATTGGTTGGCGCTTCTGCACATTTTCTTCTCGCTTATCGGAAATACATTTTATGATAATCTATATAAATAAATACACAATATGTATTGTGAAAAATATGCTCTTGTGACTTCAGTGCACATAATAAAACAAATTATGACTACAAAATATATATATCTGATTCCGCTAATATAATAATAGATCCAGTAGCTAAGAACTTTTGAATATAAATAAATAAATACACAACAAATTATGTATTGTATTGCATGTTAGATAGACTTGTCTTTCAATTTCATTTTCTGCATCTATTTCTCTATTGTTGTCATGTATAAAATTCGAGCACTCATTTATTTTCGAGAAGCGCAAGGAACGTTAAGAATGTCTAAAGAAAATGTTAAATCGCATATTATTCATATTTTTATTCTGAACGTTTGAACTAATACATCGTCCATTTACTTACGGCGTGAGTCACATGTTGATATTTTTCATCTCATTAATTTGAGGATGTATAAATGTACGTATATAAATAAAATCGAATCTTTTCTACCTCATATAGCAAGATCAAACGTCGCACTGGTCGAAACTTTTCCATTTTTTTTTATCGTATGTACAATTCTATACAAAGAACGTCATATCTTTTATATTGTGAAAAATATGCTCTTGTGACTTCAGTGCATGTAATAAAGAAAATTATGACTATAAGATATATATGTATAACTGATTCCGCTAGTACAATCGATCTAGTAGCTAAGAAATTTTGAATGTAACAATCGCTATTCGTCATTAAAGTGTTGATACTCGATAGATTAAATAAGTACTTCATATATCACCTATATTAATGAGAAAATATGCATGAACAAGTGTGTGCTTTGCACGTCTAAATAAATATTTTATGTATGTATCACCTATATCGATGACGCGGTACGCATAGACAAACAATTATAAATTAGGGAAAATCTCCGTGTGCTAATTCAAGTTCTTGAATCTGTTTCTTGTATATCCGTGTCGCTAAATTAATACATCCTTCGCCAATGATGCACGAGGTGTTCACCGGCACGCCGCACCAGTCTCCGTGTGTTATCCAAGTTCTCGAGAGTCCTTGTATCCGCGTGTCGCTAAGTCAATACATCCTTTGCCGATGATGCATAAAGTGTTTACCGGCGTGCCGCTCCAATCTCTCGTTTCTCTCGTTGTTACGACGATCCCAGTGATGGTTGCGCCTGTCGTGATTTTGATTTTGATTCTGACCGCGCGACCAGTCGTGCCTGCGCGGCTTGTTGTGCCAAGGGTCCACGATCGGCGGCTTCCTCGCCTCCCGCGTCTTCATCTTCATGAAATCGGCGTCGTTCTCGGTGTAGCGGTCCCCGAACTCCTCCTCGCATTCCTCTACGAATTTCGTTTGCTCGCTCGTCAAAGTGTTGTCCGTCATGTTTAACGAATCTGCGGTTTGCATGCGGAACAACACGATGATTAACATAAGATTAAAATAATTAATGAGGATTTTGTAAATACGGGGAAAATGTCGTAGTCGTAGGAGGGAACTTACAGCCAGAAGCATTTCACGCTATCGCTCGGTTTATTATTCCCCACTGGCTCCTTATTACTCGCTGCAAATCGCTGAATACTCTTCGCTCGAGATGCAAGGTGAAGGTTATGTTCTTTAAACAGACTCATCAGTGGTTCTGCGTTCCAAAATTCACTGACATTCCATTAATCTATAATTTACGTCGCGTGCACTATAGTCACTATAGATTTAGCCCTGGTAAATCTGGTAATCATTTGCAACACGGCCAGAGAGTATGTTTCTGTGCTCGAAATGAAATATTATAGGAAAAAAAAAGAAATATATGAAAATATTATTAAATATTAATGTTGCACTATATTGTATTAATTTATATTGAAAAAAAATTTTTTAATGCGAAAAAGAGAAGCCTGTTTTTTAATTATATAAATTTAATTAAAGGAAATTATTTAAATAAATCAAATAAACAATAATAAAATCTTGTTTTATTTATTTTATACTAGATAAAATAATACATATAGACATTTTTTACTGTAATTCGTTTTATTTATTGATAAATTCTATATTCAGCATTGTTTTTAAAATTTACATTTTACGATCCTTCTCCGTCAATACGTAAAGCAATAGGGGCACCATATGTCTTATTATATTAAATAATTAATCCTAAAACACTAAATTTATAACGAGTGTACATAATAATTTGTATTAATGTATAATACACATATACAATAATAGACATTGCATGCGCGAATGCTAGTCACAGAATATTCATAACTCACTATATCACATGTCTTTGACAAACTAAATCGAGGATATCAAATCACATATAAAAGGTGTGCACCAACGAAACTTAATATTACGATTTAGCTAACTATCTAAGTCCTCACTCCCACGCTTTTGTTACTCGCGCAGGAACATGCTGATAAAAATTTAGAACAGCACAAACATTTTTTAAAGATGATGTTTTCGCTATTTCTCATTTTCTAATTGATGGTCCACGTCAAGAGGAAAATTATTCGCATAAAAAGCGAAAGAAAATTTTCCAAACGTCGATCATAAATCTGCAATATGCAGTACTTAATTAAGCTTGTCAAGTAACTAGATTCTGTTACTTTTGCTTATTAAACATTAAATGTTGTAATCGCTAATGGTAACTGAACGTCAATGGCACTTGCTACTTTGGAGATTCTTGTTAAAAGAAAAATTGTTTATAAGTACCTCTTGCAATTATCCTTCCTAAAGAACTAATTCCCCATAGACGATTTAAGAATCATAAAAATTTAAGATAAGTGCAATCTTAAATACATAGAAATCTTGTATAAATTTGTCACCTAATTAATTTAAGATTTAAGAATTATAAAAGTTTAAGATAAGTGCGATCTTAAGTACACAGAAATCCTGTCTAAATTTGCCACCCAACTGATTCAATAATTATTGAATCAATTGACATATTTAAGAGATTTTTCGATTATTACAAGCTAAACTTAATTTCCATTAGAGAAAGTCCTCAGTAGACGTTACTGTCGCTTCTATCAACAGCCCGAAATCCAATTCTGTGAGACTAGCTGTAAAATAAGAGTTACGTTACACTTTAAAAATATTCTTAAGACAATGTAATTGAAACCAAGAATGTTATTCAATTAAATTTCACCTTTTGCAGTGAGCAAATCCAAAAAGGTGTCCAATGGCGACAAACGATCCGCCGAAGGAAATGCCGCCAAACCTGAAAACGATTCACGCTTGTCACCGTAGAAATTGCATTAATTAAATTATTATTCGTATAGTTTACGCACTGTTATGATGATTACGGTGTTGTAAGGTCCGACTGCCGGTTCGACTCTGAGATACTTCGCCGCACAGAATATTCGCGGCGTGTTCTCTGGCTCGCAGCATCAAACTAACTGGATGCAGCCACTGATTCAAGAGTCTCTTTCCGCGAGATCTCGGCAATAAGGACAGCAACTTCAATTTCTGAACGACATTTTCCTTCGTATCGCTGATATCTAAACGAAAGTCATCAATCTATGTTAAAATGTCTATATCTTCTGTCTAGATCAAGACTTAAAAAAAAAAAAACTGTAGCAAAGATACAATAATTTCTTATTACATACGTACCGGCTAAAATAACCTTGGTGACGTCAACTTGAAGTTCAAATACCGAGCGTTCTATGTATTGCAGAAACATTGAGTATTTGAGAGTACGGTAGCCGAGGTAAGTAAAAAACGACGCGAATCCTTGTGGTGATGGGTAAGCGATGTTCTCTATGGCGTACCGATATCGCTGTAAGAGCATAAATAACAACCATCGTCTCGCTTCGTCCAATTGGTCTCTGTAAAGATAACATTATATGAATATACCTGATACAGCGATGAGATAGATAAATGATCGATAAGTCATTTTAAAAACGCTCTACTTTAAATCTTGCTCTAGTAAAAATACTCTACCCTAAAATGTACAAATGAATGAATTTATGTTCGTTTTTACTAAATATAAGTCATAATCAATACAGCGATATATAAAATTGCGCCAAGATTGTTTTCTTACATGAGATTAAAGCCGCGCTCTTGCTCAATTCTCGGATCAACGCCGGCTGCTCTGCAAAGTATTTGACACAATATGCGCGACGATTCCAATTGCGCAGCCACGTATCTCGTGGCCATGGCATGAACGTGCAGCGGGGTACAAGAGCCTCGCGCGTGCATAGTCGACGTGTGCGTGCCGTTCTTTAGAAGATACATCGAAAGTTCCCGCAAATTGACCGACACAATGTGCTCCTGCTTCGAGGCGGTGCAACTTTCGGTCTCGTTAAACGGCAAACCCGAATCCAGCTTGATGTTTCGATTGCCCATGAAGTCTCCGAGTGGCATTGCAACAAATCTGTAACACGTTATCATTTATTGTTTGCGTACATTTGTGAGTCTGATTATAAAAATATATTTCTGTGAAATAAGGAAGGAAATCCTGTGTTAATTTTGTAAGCAATTTTATAAGCAATAGACATAAATTACATTATAAATAATAGATAAACATACATTTTCTTTGTCTAAGAAAAAAAAACGAATAAGACGAATCTGCATTACTTTCACGTGCATTACTTTAGCATGCAATTAGTTGAGCACGAAATTAGCATGAGAATTGTTACCCTCCGCTCGGAGACATTGGAGTGCTGCATCTGGATAACGCCTCCGGCTGATAACAAGCTAAAGAAACTAACAGCTTCTCCGCGATATGACTAGGTCTGAATCGCAGTTTGTCACCACCGTTTTTGCTCAACTGATCCCACAATCTAGTCCACAAGTCGCTGCGATAAGGCACGAGCCTCTGCTGCGGCGAAAGTAACATTACCGACGTGTTCCAGAGTTTCTCGTGACTCAGCGTGATATCCAAGTCGTTCATCTTTATATCGAAAGTCATGTAATCCCCTACGGTAGTGACGGGCAGCAGGGACAGCAGGGGGACCGTGTCCGCGAGGAGGTTCTTCTGCACCAGAGCGTAAGAGTTGCCTATGAGTATCTCCTGCATGAAGCGCGGGATGTCCAACGAGCGCGGCTTCTCCGCGACGATGGACATCAACTCCGCGATAACTTCCATGTCGTTTTTGTGGCAGAGGAAGTAATGGAGTATCCCCAGGCGGACTTCCGCCGAGGTCTCTTTGCGGAAAACCTCAATGAGAAAGTCCGGCGGTATCGTCAGCTGCACGAGGTCCAGAGTCGGCAAATCTATCGTCAGTATGCTCGCGTTAGAATTCGCCGCGAGCGAACCTCCGTCCGAGCTGCCGTTCTTGCCGTCCGAATTCCTCCTCGTTCCCTTACCGGCGCCGTCCAAGTCGAGTAACGGCACCAGGTAGGAGACGCGGGACGGGATCGACGGCGGCGGGCCGCACAGGATGTGGCAGCAGGGCTCGTGGTTCACGCCGATCTCGAGAAGATGCGCGAACAGCCCCGGCACGAACACGATCATGTGGTGGCTCTCGTAGATCGCGAAGGTCGGCCGCATCAGCTTGGCGCGCGACCACGATATACCCGGTATCACGCAATGGATCACGCAGCTGTGATGCAGCAGCGTGACCGAGTACGCGAAGTGCACCGTGTTGGACTCGTTCAGGGAGTTGAGCACGTGCTGCGGCGGCTGTACCGGCCGGTAAAGGTAGTAGTGACAAACGCAGACCATCCCCTTGGTGTCCGACACCACTATGAGATCTAGGGAACAATCGTGGACTCGCAGGGGTATCACGTCGTCTTCGTAAGTCCCGCAACTAGAGGACGGCGACAGTAGCGGTAGGTTTAGTGGGATATTCAGCTAAAAAGATACAACAGGTTTGTACAAGCCAATACGATGCCATGCATTTCGCTATGGAGTTAATTTAATTAGCAAGCGCACAAGATATTGATGACTAAAAATTATTATCGGCATATTAATCAGTTTAGCATGTAATCTATACAGAATGTTAGTAACAATTATATTGGATTAATAGTTTGAATAAATGGTAAATGTATCAGTGACTGAACATGTATCTATATCTGAACGCGTACACAAAATTTATTAATCTCAAATACTTTTTTTATATTAATATCAAAATTTAATTGTAAAAATATTTAAAGATTACAATTAAATTATAATATTATGAAAAAAATCATTTAAAAATAAATTTTTGTATACTTGTTCAGCTATAGATACACGTTCAGCCACTGGTACGTTTACCTTACATATTCCTACCGTTCTTATCGTCAAATGCTCACCACTGTCTCATGGGGCAGGTCGTCGTGAAACTGAAGACCACTGAGGGTCGGTTTCGAAGACCGGGAATTACTCTCGTCCTCGTCTTCGGTGACCACGCTCGCGGGAATTCGTCGATGATGTATATGGTAAAGGACTTGATTAATCATGTCCCATTGTGCCCACATGAACGTTTTTACAAGGGTTTCGGATTTCAGTTCCTTTATCGGCCTCGAGGGGCTTACGGACGTGTCGAATTGAGCGGTATATGTCAAAATACCTTGAAATAACACACAAATTGCAAAGATATGTCGATTACAAAATAAATTATAAATAAAATAGGATGCCTCAATACTATGCGTTTTAATTTTGTATTTTAAAATTCTATTTCCACAAAAGTAAAATTACAATACAGTAATAGTAAGACTACGATTAGACTCTACTCACATTCGTGATGTATCAGCACCAGAAACTTGTCCACACTCAGCTGCTCCTTTTCCCTATACAGAAATTGTATCCGGACTTGCTTAGACCTCTCTATCTCCAGATCGTGCACTTTGGTGTCGTCGGTGGTTAATTCCACAATGAACACTCTGTAGAACTCCTCGTGGGACTCGTGCTCCCCGTGCTCGTGATCCGAACAGCGATCCTCCGAGGGATCCTCCAACGTCCCCAGGCGATTCCTCTGCTTCGTCACGTATCCCATCAGAGTATGACTTTGGTTGACCGTGGCTTGAACAATGTTGAGTACCTCCGAAAAGCGGTGCAGTACCTGAAATCCAATCGACGTTAAAAACATCCGCGCGGCGAAAGGGGGAGGCGAGAGAATCTCCTTCGTGATTCTCACCTGTAATTTATTGTCAATCTGGTCGTAACGGCCGACTACGGTACACGACGTGGACGCGTCGTTCCTCTCCGATTCCTCCACCCATCCGATGAGTATCGAGCCGTCCTTCTCCTGCCCGAGTAGCTTCCATTGCTCGGCTGAGGAAACAAAGGGTCAATTAGCTCTTTTCCCAATAATAAATACAGTCTCAATATTCTTATGTACATTGGTCACTTAAAATCATCTGCTGCGCTAGGGATGACATCTTACATAATCGTCTTATGTCATTTTCAAATACGTGTGGACATGCAAAATATTTTTGTACAGATAAGCCTACATGTCACACATACACACACATAATATTATCTTTTCCATTTAACAGAGATAAACAAACAACCCCTCACGACATTTACCTGCGCTGGCGTTTTCCGACAGAAGCAAACATAATTTCGCCGCGAGGTTCTCTATCATATCTGTCAGAGACAACAATTCGTGAATAAGTTCCTCCGATTGTCCACTGTGTTTAATATGCGGTTGCAAAAATGCTCCTCTTTTTCGACGCTTCTTCTGTCCTATTCCTGACTCCTGACCTAGACTTTCTTGTCGTCTGCTCGCCGAACGAAGCCGAGCGATGCCGAATGATGCCGAACGAACCGTCGTGAAAATTCGCCTTAACCTGAATTGCATCTGAAAGCCTCGAGAGCGAGAGAGTCAACAGCACTGTAAATTGCCAATTAAAATTGATCTAGTAATTTCATTGTCTCTACGTTGCGGTTTTTTCAAAATATTACAAAAAAACAAAGGATTTTTTGGAATCTGAATTAAAAATCAAGTTAAACGAGGTTGATTCAACTCAAACATCGGAGCAGCCGGTGCCCGGTATTGACAGTGATGTGTATATTTATTCCCTTCTCTCTCCCTCCCGCCCTGCTCCAGATTCCAGAAACGCATTTTGCTGGCTCTCCTGACTCCTCTCGTTAGTCACGCTCTGGTTTAGCCAGGTTGAGTCGATCGTGATCAATCGTGATCCTTCCAGTTGCATCGAAGGGATACAGCTTTCGAGGGAAAAAAATGGTTACCGGACGCGCGTTGCATTTTGTATTCAAGATACCGGATCGCGGGTTAACGGCGAAATTTTATCGAGAGATTCTCGGGATGAAAGTAATTATAATTTCCGTATTTTTTTCCTTCTTTCTTTGTCGCACGACTTATTAATCCTTGGATTGTGCGTCTTTCCAGGTGCTGAGACACGAGGAATTCTCGGACGGATGCGAGGCCGCGTGCAACGGGTGAGTAATCGCTCGTGACTTGTCATTGTGGCGCAACAATTATAGTTTCTCGTGATAATGCGATGATGATTTATTTTTCATGTGCTCGAAACCAATGAGAAAAAGATTTTTTTGTATTTATCATCGATATAAAATGTAACAATTAATAAGTGTATTTTTTAATATTTTTTATAATTATGTCTTTGCTTTTAAGTTCTTTTTCTAAATATATGTGGCATATCGAATGGCTGCTTGCAACCTGTTGATATGTGCTTATAATTCCCATAATCTATAACGTTATTTAGAATATAATTTTTATTTTTGTATGTTATATATACATATTTATCTTTTTTTTTTACATCAAAAGCACTGCAGTGTTTATAAAACATTAAAGTTATATATTTCTTTTACAGACCATATGCAAATCGTTGGAGCAAAACGATGATAGGATATGGCCCTGAAGATACACATTTTGTCATTGAATTGACATATAATTATGGGATTAAAGAATATGAAACTGGAAACGATTTCAAAGCTATTACTATTTGTTCGAAAGACGTGATTGAAAGAGCACGCGCTAATGGATGGCCAATGCATGAGGAAAATGGAAAGTTTGTGATGCAGGCACCTGGTGGGTATAAATATCACATTGTTAACGAGCAACATCCTGCTAACAGCGGTAAGTACAAAATCAATCAACCTACACTTTTAACTTTACTACTATGAAGTTATAAATTAGTTTGTGTTATTACAGTAATTTGAATAACTTACTAAATAATTTATAGAATAAAATAGAATTATGAAAAAGAAAATAACAATTAGGTTATATTTTTGGTAAAATTATTATTTTTTTAAATATGTTCAAATAGATCCAGTAGAAAAAGTTACTCTGGCCAGCTCCAATCTTGAACGTACCATTGCCTATTGGAAAGATATTTTGGGATTAAAGGTATTTGATAGGAAAGATAAAAGCGTATTGATGGGCTATAGCAAAGATCAAGCCAAACTTGAATTTGAAGATATTGGTGAGTATTTTACATTATATCTAATTTATTTTTATATTTTATCAAATTTATGATTATTCACACTAAATATTTAGTATATTTACTATTTGTGAATTCTATATATCAGGCACCGAAGTCAATCACGCAAAGGCGTATGGACGTATCGCTTTCTCGGTACCGTTTTCGGAGCAACCGGCGATCCAAAAAGCTATTAAAGAAAGTGGAAATAAAATCTTGACTGATCTAATAACTCTAGATACACCGGGAAAGGCTTCTGTAAGAGTTATCATTCTTGCGGATCCGGTAAGTACTTGCGATACTTAAAATAAAACACTGTGTAATCACATTTTGTAAATGTCATTGTGGTTGTTTTCCAGGATGGGCACGAAATCTGTTTTGTAGACGACGAAGGATTTAGACAACTCTCAGTTCCAGATTATCCAAGTGAAGAAATTTTAAATAGATATATTGAAAAGGAGGCAACAAATAACTTGTAAAAAATTATTCAACTACCGTTGAGTATTATTTGTAATTCAATATTAAGTAGATATTGATGGTGGCGGAATGCTAATGAAAAAATTAGAATTTAAAAGTGATGGGCGCATCTAAATAAAAATATGTAAATACGTAATTAAAAAAAAAATGTTCTTATTGTTTTGTAAAAATAAATTTTATTTTTTGCATCAAGTTGTCTGAAATTGAATATCATGTACTTTTATATAAATTCATATTTATCGTTAAACTGAAACTTTACTAAAATTTTACTAAAAAATTTTGCATCAAAGTTTTTAATTTAGTTGCAAATCTTGTATGAGTAGAAAACGTGATCTTTCTGTAACCTTTTCGTAGAAATAGAAAATGCTGACGTTTAAATATGAAACGGTAATTCTCATGATACTAACGTTTATCAGCTGTAATTATACTGAAAGCATTTTATTGTATTAGTGAGGGTCAATAGATCAACAACGTAATCAGTTAATGTGTTTATATCACTACCAAGAAAGACGCAATACATCAAGAAGAAAAGCTGATAAACGTAAAAAGAACATACGTATATTTGTCATCCCATAGCCATCTGCACGCCAGTGCCAGTTTTCTTAAATCAGTGTAAAGACTACCGTCGTTTATAGAGATGAACATCCGAATTTTGCTGTTCCTATTTCTCTTAACGATTCTTTCAACCGGTAAATATCTATATGCACATATATTATATTTTATATATATATATTTATATATATATATATATAGATATATATATATATATATATAAAATATTACTTTATATATTATCATAAGTCATTTCTTTGGATATTGACGTTATTTAAACTTTTACAAATAGTATTATTTTATTGATAATAATTTTGGACATTATCGACATTATCTTATGTAATTTTTGACTATTTGATAATTTTTTTGAGCTACCTTAAATTAGTTCCTTAATATATCAGTGAAACAAAATAATTTTGCATAAATTTATTAAACATAAACCTTTACTTTCAGTCGATGTAAACGCAGGAAGGGGCGGTTCCTCGCGAGGTTCGTCATCACGAGGTTCGTCATCACGAGGGTCGTCATCACGAGGTTCATATTCTTCTTCATCTAGATCAAGCCCCAGTTATGGAAGTTCGTCAAGCAGTCACACGAGCTCGAATACTAGATCAAGCCCCAGTTATGGAAGTTCTGGACATACGACAGGTTCAGGCTCAACTAGCTATGGAAGTTCATCTGGTGGACGTACAGGCTCGACTGGATATGGAAGTTCCTCGGGTGGACATATGACGGGATCAAGTCCTTTTGGACATGGAAGTTCGCCAAGTGGACACACGTCGGGATCAAACCCGGCTGGAACTTCATCGAACACAGGTCAGTATATGACGTGATTATGATATGATAAAAGAGAGGATATTGTTATTTGTTCCAATCTTTCTGCAATTACAGTACGTAGAATTATACGTCTTAATCTTATTGTAGGTCAAACTTCGCATCAGCGAAATAAAGATGCATCCTCGACCTTCTTGAACGCTGAAGGAGGAGGGGCTACGCGACCCTGTAAGTGCGATAGCAAATAACAACTGTTTATTTCTTGCTGAATTTTAACGTGAATACTTTATGTTTGCAAAGCTCAAACTAATTCCGCACAACCTGGCCGACCGTATGGTAGTACAGGTATTATTAGCATTTATTATCTTAATAAATACTAAAGATTTATAATTGGAATATATTATAAGAAAGAAAGAATTATTTTCAAATGTTATGTTAATTTAGATATTTTTATACTTTTATATTATACTTTAATTTTTTTTTATTTTGCATCTGTTTTCACTCGTTTGTTTTTTCTATTTTGTTTTATTGCATAAGAAATAATTGATTCTTTTTTTCTATTATTTTTCTATTAGGAACTGGGAGTCATGGAACAGGTTTTGCAACAGAGAGTAGACAAAGTTCTGCACCATACAATCCATCGGCACCGCGTAATCCGTCAGCTCCATACAACCCATCAGCACCGTACAATCCATCCGCACCATACAACCCATCGGCACCGCGTAATCCATCCGCACCATACAATCCATCCGCACCATACAATCCATCAGCACCGTACAATCCATCAGCACCATATAATCCATCCGCACCGTACAATCCGTCAGCACCATACAATCCATCCGCACCGTCAACGAAAGCTGTGATACCTTCGCAAAGTCATGGTATATATTTTATAATATTTTCAGTAAGAAAATTTATGCTTTTAAATTCTTGAAATTCAAGAAACAATAATTGTCAATTATAATTACTGATTATGACGGAAAATCAATGCAAATTTAAAAAATGAATATTTTCTAAGAAATATGAATAATTTAAACATAATTAAAAATTAACATATACAATTTTCTCGCAGCTCCAACTTCTTTTGGCCAACCAAACGCGCCTTACAATCCGTCACACGGAACTGCATCTGGCAATCCTCCATGGAGCAACCCGCATTTCAATCCGAGCCAATCTTACCCACCAGGTTCCACTTCTACTAACATCGGCTTCAAAGATCATCTACGTCCAAATTCGATGCCCGTTCCTTCCGCGTCTTATCCACATCCTCCTTATCCTTCCGGTTCTAATCCACATCCGCCCCCTTATCCCGGTCATCACTACGGTCAATCGAATCAACCTCATTCCACGTATCATCCCAGTTATTCTCCTCCCAGTCAAACGTTCGGGCATCCTGCCAGTTACCCAGCGCACATTCCGCCACCCGTACCGGGTACATTCGGAAATCCTTACTCCACGCATCCCGTGGGCGGAACGTACGGCGCAGCCGGACATAGCTATTATCCTCAGCAGCAGCACGTCCTGGCGCAGCCGGCATCACAACCGTACATACCCGGACAAACGGTCATAATGGTCCCCGGTCAGCAAGACAGCGGCAGAGGCTTCGGTCAGATGGTGAAGGAGGCCCTCGTGTTCTCCACAATCAACGCCGGTGTGAATAGGCTGTTAAATCCGCACCATCATTACGTGAACGATTACAGAAGTCCGCCGAGCGGTGGTACCAGTACCAGCGAAACGCATATAACTTATAACAATCATTATTTCAACGGTGCCTCTCCGGACGGTGTTTCTTCGGGTTCGCCGAATGCACCGCAGGGAAATGTTGCGTATCCTTCCAATCCAAATCCCGTGAATCCAAATCCGATAAATTCTTATCCGATGAATCCAAGTCCGGTGTACAATCCAGTTATTACTCCCGGTGTATTGGTTCCTACAATTGTCAATAACGGTAGCGCAACGTATCCAGTTGGCGGCAGTTCTTCTGTAAACACAAGGGATGCAGTCAACAACGTGGAAACTTCCCCAGTTGTGTCTTCTAATGAATTTTCTGCTGACAGTACAGCGAATAATCAAGGAACAGCTGCTTATTTTCCGCAGTATAAAATATCGGACGACGATCTGATGATGTTGTCCGAAGAATTATTTATGAAGCAAGAAGTCAATATATCCAAGTATATAGAGTTATATCCTCAGAGTAAATCGGAGAACGTAACCGATACAGCTATGGGACCGTAAGTTTTGCGTTCAAGTCCGTCCAAGTATGATTATTCTTGTTTTACTTACATACTTATCGTTTCTAGATTAATTTACGTGCAAGAAGAGGCGTACGATTATCCGACGATCTTAGCTATTCGAGCGCTCTACGACTGCTACGAGCACAATTCCACCGTGAAGGAGACTCGTACACCGGAAAAGCGAAAGAAAGAGGATCTTCTGTTAGATATGGTCCTGAACACGAACGTGATGGCCAGAGCTATGCGATGGTTGTCGGATCGAGGTTTCATCGATCCCGACGATTTCGAGAGGAAGGACACATTGCGGCATATCTGGTTCACCACGTTCGACGGCGCCACCTCAGGATTCGAGCGAGTGTTTACGTCCGAAAGGTATGACACGGAGCTTCTTGGGGTGACGGACTGGATATACTTTAATTATCAAGAATCGAAGAATCGTATCGATTACATGGGATACACTGACATGAAGAATGGCAACGTGAGTTATACATGTTATATAATATAGGTGTAATATATAAGAATATATTATTGTGTCTTAAATTCTTAATATATCATTCACATATATTATCAGCACGAAAAAAATAAAAAAGTATATCACATTTTTAAAATTGGTTATAACTTACTTTATATTTGTTTTTTTTACAGAGAACTTTGCTGAAATTGAACTTTCAAATGGATGGTATTACCAGACCGAACGCAACGATATTCATAGGCACGCTTCCCGAACTTGAGATGTCTCTATATACGATATGTTTTTACGCCAGACCGAATAATCTATGTCCCGTTTCACTCGGTGGAATGAAGTTTCATATTTTCACGCATTCGTTTAGATATTACGGGAAAGATCTTGTGGATCTTGCGCTTCCTACTTTTTAATTCTGTATTATATGAATGAATTCTCGGATGTGATAATTACTAAAATATAACGCGAGCGTAATTTTAATAAAAACATTAAACATATTAATTAAGATAAGAATGATTGTAATAAATGAATTAATTTGTATTTTTATTCTCGTGAGACAAATTTTGTTACATTGATAAGAAATATGTATTGCAATGTATTTGGAAAATTATTGCCGCTTATAATAAATACAGTACCTTTTTTGTGTAATGATTTTTATAATTAAATAAACAATATTTCTCTTTGTTATTGCAGTATTTAAAAATGACAATCATTATTGTATATTGAAAAATAGAATTGTTCTTTTTTTTTACTTCAATTCTTTTTACCTCTTTTAGTAGTCCTCTTCAAGGATGTAAAGTTCAATTTTTTCTGAAATTTGTAATATAATATTGGTTAGTAAAATATATAATTATTTTTATGCAATGTATATTATTTTCAAGTATATTAAATTTATAAGACCTCATTTTAGAGACAAATTATTTAGAAATTTTATAATTACACAAAAAGCAATTTAATAAATAAACCTTGTAAAGAGATAAACAAAAACAATATCTTGTAAATTTTTATTAAGGAGAGAGTAAAGAAATCTGCACAGCATAAATCTGTAGAGAAAGCGCGAGAAATTTAGAAAACTGCACCGTATAGCATTCTTTGATTATTCTTTAACTAATGCTCCAAATTTTATAAAGTTTTAATAGTTGTCTGAAAGATCGTGTTAAAAAAAATCGAAATATTGTTAAATTAACATTTCGAATTGAGAACTTTTTAATCGAATAACTCGACCAATTGCAGTTGTGCAGGCGCCGAGGATCAGCGGAAAGAGAAAGCCTACAAAGTATGAATCATTCAATGTTACGGGCGATGGTCACCGACGTCTAGGACGTTCAGTATAAGGTCGAACGGTAGTAGTAGCACGTCGACTGCGTGAACAAACAGTGCGTGTCAGAGATTCTTCGAAATTTTAATCTATCGAAACGAGAATTCGTCAGAAGCGAAGCGGACAACAATGAAAATTAGAACATGCCTGTTCACCGTGATCGTGGTTTTATTTATTTTTGGTAATCACATATGTTATCCCAAAGCAGATATTACATTATTATAGATTATAATTACTAAGGCGTTGTTAAATTAATGGGTGAAGTTTGTGCACGTGAGAAATATCAGATTCACACAAGATGTATGCTCTTAAATTTGCATAAAATGTATTTGAGTGAAATGTGCCGATTAAATCAAGCATTGACTTTTATTAAAATAATTTTTTGTTAAAACTTCTTAAAATTTTATTTAAAATTAATTATTTTAATAATGCTCCAAATTCAAGTATAAACTTTAGAATGCTCCCAAATTTGTAATGTAAAATGTTTAAACAACAAAATACTTTATTTAATTAAAAATGGATTTTTAATAAAAGAATTTTCAGAATTTATAAAAAATTCGATATTAATTAGTAACTATAAACTTTAAACAAAAATTCTGTTTAAGTGAACTTTCCTTGGAATCAAGTTTATACATGTTACGTATTACGTATACACGGAAACGCAGAATTCGCGGAAACTCATTCACTTCTAACTATCTATAATTCACGAATTAGGCTGGAGTTAATTTATAAAAATTACTGGCAATTGAGGAACATAGTTTCCAGATTTATCAAAAAATCTCGCTGTGTGCAATACAGATGTGAATTTAAGAACCAGTTATTGCATCATTAAAAAAAAATGAGTTAAGAATATATGTATAATTTATTAATAAATACGTTTAATTTGTGCAATATAAATTAAAAAAAATGTGTGTGTATAATACATGAAAAAAAAACGTAATTAAATTAAAAGAACATGTATCGGATCTTCGTGATGTATAAAATTTATAATTTTTTTAATCTGTTCGTGCTACATTTAAAAGCTTTTCGAAGTATCTTTTAGAATATGCATAAAAATAAATAAAAAATGGATAGATAACAATGGATAGATAAAATGGATCATCTATTTATATAATTAGACACTTAATTAGACGTGAGTAAATGGAGGAAATACTTTTAAGTCACGTAAGATTTACGTAGAACGTACATAGATAAATTGACCAACAAATATAGACTGCGTAATAAGTGAAATCAGCAGAGCAAATTGCTCTTCCATGTTACTCATACGTCATGCCGTCAATGTACGCTCCTCGTATGGTATTATTCACTTGACGACGTTTACCATAATTGCATTACTGCGTTCATGATACTAAATTGGAGATTCTCATCGAAAGGCACGTACTGAAAACTGTTTCAAGATGTGCTTGTCAAATTTTATGTTGCGCAAATAATTAAAAAAAAAAATTGTACAAACTTTCGTAGCTCTTTCAGAAGGATTGCAAAGAATTGCAAACAGCCTCGCTGAAAATTACATATGATTGTAAATCTATACTGATATCGGAATAATTAGAAATGAAATTTGCTAGTCTCATTACGGAAGGAGTTTAAGATATAAATATTTAAGTGGAAAATTCTTGATTTCAAGGGTGAACTTGATTTTGAGCATAGTTATATCTCCTACATAATGTGGACACGAACTCTCATATTCAGCGCATAATATTAAGCCAACACATATTATTGAGCCAACGAGTGAACGGGCCCCACACACACCCACACAATTGCCTCTATATTATATAATAATCTGTTGAAGAACAATAGGCCTGGTAATCTGCACCGGTGTCGCGAGAAATAAAAGAGGACACCAGGTTGCATATAGATAGCTTGATAGTCACTCAATCAACGTATTTTACGACGCAGAAATCTATCTATAACATCTCGATTCATTCCAACATGATTCTACTTTTGATAATTTTCATCGTAAATGAAAAAAAAATGAGGATATTCTGAATTTCTATATACGGGATAAAAGTTTATTTGCACATTCTGTGCTTAGATTTAGACTAAAGCTGTAAGTACCTTCAGAACTATACTTCGTTTCTTATCCGGAGTTGCAATTATTTTTTGTTAATTCTCATAAGAGTTTTTTTCACAAAGTGAAGATATAAATGCTATACTAATGAATTGAATTTTTAAGTAATATTTAAGCACTGATATGTAAAATCAAATACATCGACGCTTTTAATTGTAATAGTTAACTTAAGTATAGTAGATGATTAATCATACTTGCATTAACTGACAATAAGACGTATTCATAATTTCGAAAGACTAAACGTTAAAAGTTATTGCACATATGATAAATTGCATGTATAACATGTGCTTACAGCAGACACAGACGGTCGTAAAACCAGCGGAGGACGAAGGAGCGGTAGCTCAGGATGGGGTTCTTCCTCCGCCTCTCGGCGAGGAAGTAATTCTAATCAACGGACAAGAACAACTCAGCGGCCCTCACAATCAGGTATGTAATATTATATATTTATGGAGAATATTTAATATTTGTATCATAATATTATTACCTCTACCTTTTACTATTGTTAATTATATCTATTGCAATTACTACATGTTTCCTTTAATATTCATATTTGTCAATTTTTCAATATATTGCACCACGTTGCACAATATATACATATATATATATATATATATATATATATATATATTATTGGCAACAAAGAAAAGAAAATTCTGTATCGCCGGTTACATCGGAAGATCGATCTAATCGAAAAAAGATCACCGCATTAAGCTCCTTTTCATAATCATTCTACAAGGAATTGCGCCGTTTGCAAATATTTATGTATCTGTGCGTCAGATCTCTTACAAATTTGATGAGTCATTGCTTCATATAGGTAACAGCCTTCTACGGCTTCGCATGTTTCACTCGTCCATAATACAAATCCCGTTTGCAGGCTCAACTCCGGGTAAAGTAGGATGGAACGTACCACCGAACAATAGCCCACCAGGGAGCGGGGCCGGGAACCCACCACCATCACGAGGGAGCGGGGCCGGGAACGCACCACCAGGTAGCGGAGCCGGGAAACCTCCGCCGTATACCGAACATGCTTCCAAGACTAGCGCGACGAATGTGCAATCAGGACATCCGTCGGGACCGCCACCGCCATACACTCCATCGGGTAAACTAATGACTTTTCCGTATTTCAAAGAAACAGGGAATGAAAGCACAGTGTAACACCGGCAGTTTAGATCTTGACGATATATAGGTGCTCGAGAATGAAATCTCTGTTTTTTTGCATTTGCAATACGGGAGATCAAAGTTGCTAAAATTATATCAAGCAAAGTATTTCTTTTTCAAAGTTAAAGTTCCAATATTTGTGTCTCATTCTTGAAAAATCTTACTCTAAAATAAAAAATCTCGTTATTATTCCTCCTTTAAAAATTTCAATCTCTCCATATAACTGCATGACATGAAGATTAATTGACTTTCATATAGAGTTTATAATTTTAATCTTTCCGATGACGGTTGCTAGGCGGATATCCTCGACAGCCTGCCAACAATCCTTCCTACGGAAACACGGGTTACCAGGGCTACCCGTCCCACAACGCGAATCCTTCGTACCCCGGTGGTTACGGTGGCCACTCGCCGTACGGCCAGGCTTACAATCCGTCTATGCACAACGCGCCGCCAGCTTACAGTCCACCCTATGGCGGTGGTTTCGGCGGACAGCCGTCCTACGCCCATCAGCCGTCCTACGTTCAACCGGCTATCGCACAAGCGCCGGCGCTCACCGTCCTGCAGCCGAGCCGACCCGGTATCGGCCAGCTGGCCAAGGAAGCGCTGGTTTACTCCAGCGTGAGCGCGGGCGTGAGCGCGGCCGTCAACAGACTGCTACCGGGTGGCATCTACGGCAGAAGTCCGGGATACAGCAACGGCAACGCCGGCGGCGGCGGTACCCACACCGAGATTACGTACAATAATTATTATAACAATCAGTCGAATCCGAATCCGAATGGGGAAGCGCCGGCGGCGGCGGCGGCGGCGGCACCGGCGAACAATAACGGAGCGCCAGCCGCCAGCTCTGCAACGCCCGCGCCGGTCCAACCGCTACCGGAAGGGGATAAAAAGGAACTTGCCGCGCGTGAAGCTAATGCACCTAGCAACGCCAATCCGCCCACTCCTCCGCAAGAGAATCAGCCGAGTCAGCCGAACTATCCGATCTCCAACGACGAGGTGAAGAAGCTGTCGGAAAGTCTCTTCGAGGCGGATAAGAACAACGCGTACAAGTACATCACCGTGAATCTGCAGGGCGAGACGAAGGAGGATAGTACCGCGGATGACGCTCCGCTGCCGTAAGTAGAAACCGTGCGCCAGTTTGACTAACTTGTGTTACTTTTTTGTCGTGGATAAAATAATTGGATGAAATGATTCCGCATGTCGAGAGTTACATTGACCTCGTCTTGATATACCTAATTTCAGCCTACTGGACGTCAAACCGGAAGCGTATGAAATTCCGACGATTAAAAGCGTGCTGGCGTTGTACGATAATTACGAGATGAACGTTAAAACGAAAGAGACCGTCACGCCCGACGAGCGTAAGGAGGAAACGGAGCTGCTCGACAGGTTCTTGGAGACCGACGTGTTTAAAGCGACGATGAAGTTCCTGGTCGACAAGGAATTCGTTCCGAACGACGAGTACGAGTTTAAGGACACCCTGAAGCGCATCTGGTTCTCGCAGTTCCAGCGAGTCGAGGGCGAGCCGTCCAGCTCCGGCTTCGAGGCGGTGTTCCTCGCGGAGAAGCTCGACTCCTTCATGATCGGGCCGCAGAGTTGGATTTACTACGCCAAACAGGAGACGCAGAAGAAACTCGACTATCGCGGATACATAAAGGACGTCAAACTAGCGGACGTAAGTATAATGACACGTTCACGTTTTATTTGACGATTTTTATACGGAGAGAATTTTATTTTAAAATTTACCCTGAAAATCATGTCAATCGTAGGACAATATATAGTATTTCGACGAATTTTATGTGATTTTTATTTATTTTTTTTAAATATATGCTACAACAAATTTATTGTAGTGCACAGTAAAAAAAAACAGAGAAAATCATATAAAATTTGTCGAAATACTATATGTTGTCCCAGAATTAACATGACTTTCAGGGTAAATTCTAAAAGGAAATTCTATATTTATTGCATAATTTCTTTGTCTTCGTAGAAGGGAGAAGCTATCAAGATACGGTCGGCGTTCAATATACCAGACACGAAACATTCGGTCACGACCCTTCTCGTCGGCCTCTCACCCGAATTGGAGATGGCTCTTTACACAGTATGCTTCTACCTGCGTCCGAATGACGTATGCCCGGTTTCGTTGGGCGGGAAGGACGTCAGTCTCGTTTCTACCAGATTCAACTACTTCGGCAAAGATATTATGATCGCTGGCTTTGTCGCGGGATGAAATCCGAAGATTTAAGAGTCGAGGAGCCCTTTTGAGATTCTTTGATAAATTGTACGATTATATATATAAATTCTCGTAGATAGCTAAGAAGAGAACATTCTTAAGTCAAGAAAATTTATGGAACAAAATTTGTACGTTTACATGCTGCTTTTAGTTTAATATACATATTTATCCACCATGATATTTTAAGGTGAATTCTGCGCTTTTATTCATTTATCGAATATGTACAAACTTGAATTCACGAAGACGAGACTATGCGAGATCTCTCTCTTTTTCACTATAAACTTATATCTGTAATAAAATTGGAAGGGATACAATTATAATGCATACCTCAGGTATTCTGGCACTCCTTTTTCCTAATTCCGAAAATTCGATCATGGGTATTATAGTCGGTCGTCCGTGTGCACATCGATTGGGAAATTTCGTATAATTCAACAATTTTATGAGGCTCGTACACTGCTGCAAAGTCAGTCTATTGCCGAATTTAATGGCACCTAAAAAAATGTTTGAAGTTAAAAAGAAATAAGAAGTTTGCAAAATAAAATTGCAGATAAATCTGCAACGTTTCAAAATACAGAAATCTTTAACGTATTAATTAATAAGATAGTATATACATCTTTAATTTAATAATAATGATATTAAATTAAATAACAATAACAAATTATACACGCATGTATAATTGTACGTAACAATTATATTTTATGGAATAATTAATCTAATGAATACCATGGCAAGCCTCCGATGCTATAGCATTATGAATAGTTAACGGTAATGCGTTCGTTTGACTTGTGTTACAATTCTTTAACACATCGTTTAATAATCCAAGAATCTTTGGCAGTATCTTTTCGCTGTTGCTGGGATCACTATTAGTAATCAAACATTGCGGTATCGCGCGTATTATTAGCATATTTTCCTTCGACGATCCCAAACTTATGCCATATTTTCTCAATAACATTTTATTGCGTATGAGTGAATTGCACATTTCTGTAGGGAATTCCATGAATAGGGGCTCGCGCAAATTAATAGAGAGCAACTCGTCCTCGTTTTGTACTTTGTACCCTAAATAATAATAATAATAATAATTACAACTAAGAACTAAAGCCCACTTCGATTAACTTCAATTAATTTAATCGACGTTAATCCATTAGGAGCTGACTAATCGCATCTGTCTGTTAAGCAAAATGACAAATACGATTGATCAATTTCAATAGACTAATCATCGATTTGTTTAATTTAAAAAATTAATTTAATCTAATATTATATCATTTTCTAATAAACTATTTATTTTAAAAAATACTAATATATATATATAATACTAATATATTATTTTTATAAAAAAAGTATTATTTAAAATAAAAGTATGTACTAAGAAGTAAATTTTCATAACGTATTCTTTCATGAGCGGCATGTTGGTCGATCATTAATAGAATTTTCATTTCATTCCACGTCATCCACGCGGCAATAAATTCATCATTAACTTGATTAATGATCTACAAGAAAAAATATATTTATCAAAACGGTTCCATTTGAGATAATTTATTGTTTTAAAGATTTACGTACGTACTTTTATACACTTCAATGACGCCCGTGATAATCTAAATTCGCATAATTTTCGCTTCATCTTGCAAGGATGCACCGCTATCTGCTCATGTTGCCAGTTTTCTATAAATGGGCTCTTACGCGGAATCGTATCGTTAGGACTGTCAAAGCACTTTACGTTTGTCAATTTAACGTGACGGTGCTGCAGCAGGCCGTACAATTTTCGTGGCAGAAAATCAAATTGATTGTTACGTTCGAAAAGTTGTCGGATACGTATGTCATTTTCGGAAAATGTGTCATTCATCTTTTTCGCAGAATCGCGTTTCTCATTATTTGTATAATAGGTCCAGTTCGACCATTCGGAAAGGGGAGAGATCATGTTTGTGAAATCATTATTATCGTCATTACGATGATTGTGATTTTTATCGGATTTACTAGAATTATCTGTTACATTCATGGAACTCCTTTGCATTTCATCAACGCCATTACGCATTTTCTTTACAGCTTTATCCTCATACAAATTTGCACGTTTTACAGAAGCAACGTTTACTTGGCATCGGATATTATTTAATATATTATTTCTCTTGTCTATATAACGGCTGGCGGCTTCAGTATTATCATTTATAGGCTGTTTATTAAAACAATTGGTCGATGTAACTGTTGATGTAATTTTCCTTCTTTTAACGCTAATCATAGCGCTCTCGTTTCTCATCATCGAATATGGAACATTTTTACCCTGAACGTTCTCTGACGTCGTTCCTTGATACCGTCCATTGATACCGTTGTTAAAAACAGATTTTTCTATCTTCAAATATGTTCGCTTTAACAGCTGCGTTTTTTTACATAAATAAGGGATAGAAACTACAGCTTCGTCCGCGAGACATTTGAAGGCGCAGTTTTTAATGACATTTAATATCTTCTGCATATTATAAAACATGATGTATCTCTCTCCGCTTTCGGTAACAAGCGTGAATTCCTTCCGTGAGAGCGTAAGGAAAAACAGGATAAACATATTTTCGTTGTATAAATCGCGAGTGTTGGATTCTTGATCGCAAGATAAGTTGAGCCTTTCCTTGAAGACGATCTTAATCAAATTCAGAATAAGAGGGCAATAGATCGGCCTGTGATTAAAAAAAAACCACTGCATCGCGTTTTTATCAGATAATCCCACGTAACCGTGATAATTCGCGCCACTCTCGGGACTGCATTGTATCGACCATACATTACGCAACGACAGATCCTTCCCAAACAGCGTTCTCAGAACTTCGGCCGGGCTATGCGGTTTCGCAATTCTTAAAACAACCTTCTTCCGTTCCTCATCTCTAATCGAGAACGACACCTGATTGCATCAATGTAAAGGACAGATTATGAAAAACAAATTATCCCGACTGATAATCGCACACAATAAATTAAATCGTACTTCTAACTTTGTAACAGCAATAGCCGCAATAAGAAAACAAACTGCTGACATATCCCACATTTTACGCGGCGATATTTCGTGGAGGCCGTAAATAGACACTGTCGTGCCACGCGAAGGTCTCTGCTCTATTTGCTTCAAATTGAGCGCAAAACCCATTTCGAACGCCTTTGACAAAAATAATGCAAAGAAGAAACTCTTGAAAAGTCGTAAATAATATATCCGTCTTTCAAAATCTTAATTAAATTCAATATTAAATAATAAAACTTATAATTAAATTTAACAATATTCATTTCAATATTAAAATTTAATTAAATTTCGTATTAAATTTTAATATTAAATTCAACATGTGTGTATAGATTTGAAATTAATTTTCTTTTCATTAAAATTTAATTTAAAGACGACTATTTAACGAGCAAATAGGAATATGCCTATATTTTTACATTAATTACTTTCACCGATTTAAGTGATTAAATAATAAAGTCACCACTTTCAAGTGATTTAATAACAAATTAACAATTACAATCGTTACCTTCATGAATGTCTCCGTAGAATACTGATACCTCGAAGCAATCGTAAGACGGTCGGACAGAAGGCAGATATTCGTCAGATAGTTCGTTTCGGGCAGTTCGCGTACCTGTTGCCGATTGCCCACGGCTTCTGCGTCACATTTCACGGTACGTTTTAGCACGTCTTTCGGTATACCAACGCCATTGTCGACAACGTGAATTTCGCGTTTCCCCGCATGAATTCTTACGGCAATTGCCGAGGCGTCCGCGTTCAAAGAATTCGCTATCTGTAATGAATAACTACATATTTGAAAACGCGTAAAATTTAAGGATATACTTGTCAACGCCAGTTAAACAGAAATGTACATTTCTGTATAAATTATTTTTTTGTGTTAACGACAGAACTTGACACTTTACGCGTTCTTCTCGCGCTAATGTATGCGTAGCGATCGAACAACTCGCGGAGAAATTATGTAATTGTAATGCAAAACGGCGTACCAGCTCTAAGACGCATCGTTCGAAAGACGCGACATTTAACATGGTCAATGTTCGCACATTCGTCGATTGTTCTACGTTGCACTGTTCTTCGAGGAACGGGGGACAAAGCCAAGTGGACAAAGTGCGTCGCGCTTCTCTTGTTAGGGGAGGCTAATTATTTTATCATGGCACCGAAAACTACACTTAATCATTTACACTTTTTTTATCTCTCATATTTCGTTAAGAAGACAAAGATACAAAAAGTATAAAAACGCATTATATGATTATCGTGTACAATAAATAAATATATGTATAAATGAAAATTCTTTACAAACATTAAAAACGTTACATAAATGTGCAAAATGTGTGTACGTGACGATCGAACGAGCGTCTTTAAAGTGTAAATCGAACAAACAGGTCTACCATTACCATTTGTAATGCGGGAGACTTCACATATTTCCGCATCATGGTGACGCCAAAGTGATTTCGCGTTTCCGATTTAGTAAAAAAATCAAGGAAAGAGAGGGGGGGAAAGGAAAGAGAGGGATTAAGCGATGGTAATTTGCGGATGTATTTATAAAAATCTCTTTATTCTTTTTTTTTCTTATTGCATCTACTAAAAAGTTCCTGCATTCATTATCTCTTTCAAAATGTTTTATATATATACATACATACATATATATATATATATATATATATATATATAATCCTGGAAAAGAAGTATGGCTCTCTCTTTCTCTCTCTCTCTCTCTTTCTCTCTCTTTTTTTCTTTAATAACAAGTGCCAAGACCGTGATAACTTAATATTAACATTCGAGTAGCTTTACATGTTTCCTCCGCCCCTGTGTTCGGGGGGTGTTCTAAGAGTATTTAATATAATTTATTTAACATTCGGGCGAACGACACAACTAGGAGAAACTTTAATCGCAACGATTACCGCGCTAGAAGGATCCTTGGTAGCTTTAATGGGAGACTTCGATAAAGTCGCTACCGTTATATCTTTCCTTAACAATCCGCATCAACATAATAAACTTCGCGAACGATCTTTGAAATTAGTATACTGTTAATTATTATCTAAAGAGACCATACGGTGTTTCTTATTATTTTGCAGTTTAAATTATTTTGGTACGTGGAAACTTAACAAACACAGCGGATATAAAAATAGTTTAAATTGTATATTTATATATGCGTACATATACATCGTACAGTCGTGGACACATCGGCTGTAACACTTTTTTTATAGGTTTCTAATATATATTTAATATACATAATATATACTTTATAGATAACTAATATTTTGTAAATTTGAACCACGATGTACTATCTTTAGTCTAAAGACAATATAACACCAATCGTGGTCCGCATTTGCAAAATATTAGTGCGTTTTGAAACCTATAAAAAAGAAGGTGTCGCAACCGATGTGTCCATGACTGTACATACATATACACATATACACATGTAATGCCAATTGTAATTAATATATTATATATAATTATATATAATATATATAATTACTAATAATATATAATATATATAAATATACATATTACATATAAATCTTACATATATGTATATATGTATAAATATATGTATCGGATATAAGACACGTGTGGAAAATACGAAGTATATTGCTCGTATTTCAATTCGTCAATTTTTGTGCTATTAATATATCTGCATCATTTATAATTAATGTAACATGTCTAAAAACGTTAATCATTTACGCGAATTATGTAAAATTATATATATATATATATAATCTGTCTCGCGGACGTGTTTTATGCGAGACATTATCGTGTCTCTTGATATACACACACACACACACACACATATATGCATATGTATATATATCGTTAGATATATATATACATCGCTATAAATTTGATACAATTGCATCACCCAGTGTTCCATTGAGTCAAAAAAGAAACCAACTTAAGTGACCTAATAAATTGTCAATTTGTCCTAATAAATTTGTCAAATATTTAAGTATGTCTTAAAATAAGAAATTTATATATCTTAGACATAATAATTGTAATATTTTAGAAACTCGTTTTACAATATAAAAAATAAATTAGTTGTCATGTGTACGTTATTTTAGTAATACATAGAAATAACTATAAAAAAAATTTAAATAGAACTCATTCTGTATTTGTTATCTAATTATTATGGAACACTGGTTGCACATGGCCCTTTCCTTTTCCTCATTGGATAAATTATTTATTTTGCGTCGTGTTTAAAAATGTAAATGTTTCTCAATGAAAGTATCTTATAACGAACAAAAGCGAAGAGAGAGTTTAATCGTAAATATTATTTTTACGGAAAATTCTATAAAATTAACAGCATACTCTTTTCATCAACAAGCTTTTCTCAATTTACGTTTTTTCTTCATATTACATCAGTAACAGAGAGTTTCTTATTACAATTGGACATATTAAATATATTTAATATATCGCGAGCATACTAGATATTCAATAATTAAGAAATAATATAAAATACGTGTTTTCTTCTTTTAGAGAAGCGAGCTTGGAAGAAGAGTATAGTTTAAATTTAATTTCTAAATTAAAATCTATACATATACAAAAAGAAAGCATGAAAGTATCGAATCGAGAAGCTCGCTATATAGCATATTGTAATGAGTTTATTGTAAAATTATTGTAATAACAATCACATATCGAGTCATCTAGCAACGAGATATAACACACATATTAAAATGATGAGACATAAATAATTTAGCGGCATCACCAAGTATCTTGACGCTAGTATAGCGTTGTAAAATCATGTAACATTAAAAATATATATATTTATTTATATATAATATGTATAAATTGACGAGTTATTCCTATAAATATCCTCTAAAATCTGCTGTGATAAATCAATCACTTAGAAACAAATTCGTGATTTATTCAACTTTAGGCACCAATGGTATGCAGACCCTGTCTTTGGTACATACGACCGATTCAATTTTTTGTTCATATCTGAATAAAGAAGACGGACTATCACAGTCTTCTGCATCTGAATATACTTATTTCATAGCGATTTCATCGTATGGATACTTCCTCCTTACACATTTTCCTCTGTTCTTGCACGTTCAATGCAAAGAATTTGTTTATTACATTTTCGTTTATCTGTGTGGTACAGTCCTAAAGCACGTGTTCATTAACAAAAAACTCAGTCTTCTTCCTTCTTCTCGGGCTTCAAGTCTACCATTGCATGTATCTCGTCAGGACTGTATCTGCAAAAGTAGAAAAAAAAACATAACAATTAATAACATATCTTTAATTTTTTCAATAATTTTTCATATTAAAATTTATTTTAATTTGTAAAAAAAATAAAATATTAAAACGTTAAAATACATTATTTAACAAGAACAATCTAAATTTGTCAATGTATAACACGCAAAGTTAATTAAAATTTTTTAACAATTGCAATATATGTATACACTTATATTTACCCTAGTAGACTTTGTAAGTCGCATACAAAGCGATATACGTATCGCTTGCCAGCAGTTTTGTGTATGATGTTCTTGTCGTAGTAATAGCGCAAGCCTCGGCTCAGCTTCTCGTAGTTCATCTTGGGCTTGTTCTTGCGAATACCCCAACGGCGTGCAACCTCGTCCGGATCGGTCAGCTTGAATTCCCAGCCGTCGCCGGTCCACGAGATGAAACTCTGACATGCTTTGTCAGTTAAGAGCTCCAACAGAAATTGCCACAGCTGAATCGGACCTGATCCAGTGAAGCATGGTGGGCCGCCGCCTAAAAAATATGCCATATGATATATTTAATTAAGGCTTCATATTATTAAACAATGAAACAATTAGTAAAGTAATTAGTCAAAATTGTAATTTTAAATAACTTTGGTGTTACAATGAATGTTCAGATTTGTAAAAAAGAAAAGTTTGTTGAATAATTCACTGTTAGAGCATTTATTAAGTAATTGTCAAGCAAAGGATCCTAATTTGATTCTCAGAATTGTTACTTCACATGACACCAAATATTTTGAAAAATATTTCATTCTGATAAAAAATAAAGTATTCTGATCACAAATTTAATTTTAAAGTAATTGGAAATAAATTGCGTCATCTTCTTTGAAAACAGAAAATCACTAAACGATATCAAGAATAAATAAAAAAAAAAAAATGTAAAAAAATATCGAATAGTGAATTTACCTGGATAACCGGTGAGCATCGAGCTCTGCAGTAACGGCTTTTGGTCCGCATTATTGGCGATAGATGTGGGATGATGTGGATTGGAGGAGTCACGCGGTCCGAGTCCCGCAAGAAACGCGGGATGATGAGGCAGATGATCCCCAAGCCCGACACCCCATTGGTCACCGCCGACGCCGCCGCCTCCAGCACCGCTCCCGCTACCGGGAACCGTTTGGAACGACGTTGCATCGTACTGCCCGTATCCGCCGCTCTCGCTGTAACCCTCGTGGTAGCGTCCTGTCAAGCAAGAAAATTAAAATTGTTATTTCGATATTCACGTGGTCCCAGTTAAATATGAACGTACTGCGAGAAAAGGGGGAAAACTAACTTGATTTTAGATACACATATCTATTAAATGTTTTAAATATTTTTATTATACATATTTAAATATAACATTATTGTATAACTAATACTAAAATGTATCCAAAAAATATGTATAATGTTAGAAATTTAGACAAACAACATAGACCGAGTCTTTGGAAATTTTTACTGAGTTATCTCATTTCTCGCCTATACGAACCTCGAGGATAGTTCTTGAACGGTGACGGCTGGTACTTGGGCTCGATGTGGATCCCGCTGGCGCCGTAGAAGTCCGACGAGCTGTCCAAGTTGTACGTATGCGGCGCCTGGTGATCTTGTGATAAGCTGTGATATTCGGACGCCTCGTCATATCCCGAATAATGAGCCGGCGTCATGTAACTCTCCGTGGCGGTCGCGCTGACTCTCAAGTCACTCTCGTTGCTACCTGCACCCGCGAGCTCGCTCCCGCTGCCCAGAGCGCCGCCACCGCCTTGAAGATGCTCGGCTATGTGGTGATTGCTGTAGTTCGCTGTAATTGTTTTATTTTTGCAAATTAAATTTCTCGGTCTATTTTTATCAGAAAAAAAAATAACGATATAATAATGAATACAATTGTACGACATTTAATAGAAATTAAATTATAGTTTTATGTGTAAAAATGAATAAAGATAATTTATATATTATTTTAAAAGTAGTCTTGTAACCATCGTGTTTGGGAAAATTAAAAATATGGAATCTCTTAATATACACATAAAAAATCTCAATAAATAAATTTTATGAATTAAAAAATAGCTTTGCGCCATTCTGTCGTCTCTTAAGTAAGGAATTTTAGCGTTTGACATCGTGTCAAACAAAATATTTGCATACATAAGATTAGATAACGTGAGAAACTTACATTCCGTTTTGAGCTGATTTAAATTCCGTAGATGGATGTACGCGTTGTTGGCATTATTGTTGTTGTTATTGTTGTTATTACTGTTAGGGGTACTAGAGTGAGAGGTCGGTGGTTGGGTGCTATGGCTGTGGGGTGGAGGCGACGTTTCGTCTCTTTGACTTTCGTCTTGGCACACGGGACTGCGAAGGTGATTATAGCCGCCTGCAAGTTGAAAAAGAAACAATTCGTCTTGCATTACAATGTCTTAATAAATGACAGAAAATCAATCGGTCCGGTTATTAAACATGTCAAATTCAATACATTTACTTTCGATATATAAAGTGAATCAAACAGGAAAATGCACTTATCAATTTTATCAAATACTTATCAAATACGTGTATCTGTGAAATGCGTAAGAAGATAGAGAATTGCAATTAGCTAATTTGTGTATTACTGCTTATCACGCTCCTAAAAAGTCGCATTAAGAACATTTTAATGTTTACGATTAATATTTCTATCACTTCTAAGTCGAGGTTTAAAAACGCTCCATTAAAAATTCAACGTTTTCTCTTACATCGGTACATATCCATATGATTCTTCTTTCGAAGAGAAAAGATGAGAGAGAGGGAGTTACAGAGGGATACCTAATCTTATCATATCCTAGGCTACATTCATCCAAAATATTGTTTTTGAGGAAAATTTTACTAAAAAGACACCAGTCACAGTTACAGTTTACCTTATAAAAGTAATGTTTTGGAATGTAGCCTAAATAATAAATATTTTTCTTCAGTATTTCTTAAAAGTCTTTGTAATCCCTTGTTTAAATCTCTCTCTCTCTCTCTCTCTCTCTCTATTTTTTTCAAAATCATTACAGAAGCATCGCCAACGTCTGCGGATAAGGGAGAAAGGACGATGCTGCGTCGTCGTACATCTCTCGTCGCGGCACTCGCGGCACTCTGACACTATGCAGGGAGGAACCACAGCTGACACGTGGGCGGCGCGTATCTCGACGATTGGTCCGTACGAACTCCGCCTATCCTCGACTTCCGCTCTACGATCGCACGAGAGAGAGCCCGGGTATCGCGCGAAGCTGTGGCGTTCGAATCGCCGCTGCCTGGGATCGCGATCGTCGGAATTAACGAATTTGTTGTGATACGCTTCGGTCTCCTCCATGATATACGGCTTGACACTGGAAACTTGAGTTTCAAGATTCTAAAAAATTTTAAGCTTCTAAATTTCTGAAAAACTTCTAAGATTCTAAAAACTTAGTTTTAAGATTTCATTTAGATTCTTTTTTCAAATATAAATTGCGCTTCTATCGCTGATAGAAATAGGATTTCAAGTCCGTGAAGTTTTTTGTATAAGAAACTCATTTCTCGTGAATATTTTATCCAACAAAATTATTTTTTATTCTCGCAAAATAAATATTTGATTCCACACATTTATTAGTTTAGCTTGCATAAGATAAATAAAAATAATATTTTGTTCTATACATATAAAATAGATTTTTATATGTTATTGCATTTTTTATACGTCGTGACGATCATGAATAACAATTCTATGAATCAGATTTATAATATAAAGGTGACTGTGTGCGCGGAAACGAACGTTACATTGTACATTACTTCATACACCTCATGCAGACAATACCGCAAAACTTATCTATATACATGAAAAAATGCAGTATAGGTGCAACATAAATTTTTTAATCTGTGTGATTTCAAACAAATCGCTTTCAAACATGATTATCTTGAGATAATTTTGTTTGTTTCATTCAAAGAATTTCAAGTATTTTTTTAATGTCTTTGTCGAAAAAAGATAAGACAAATCTTTAATTTAAACACAAGAAAGGGTAGTGGTTGAAAGTTGGTTGAGTCACTTATCTTATCTATCTCGAGACATATGTTTCGCTACTTGAACTCACGGCTAACTTAGATTTCACGCTAATTATTTTAATGCCGTACCTAAATGCAGTCGATTGGGAAATAAAATGTAATAGTGGCAACAACAAAAAAAATAATCACTAAATAATAATGCAGCGGATAATGATTTTTAATCATTATTTTGGCAAACAAGTTCAGTTCTTAAGATAAACATTCGCTATTATAAATTATTATTTGTTAAAGACGCAAAATAAATTAAGACAAGCGGAAAGAAGACGAGGATGAGCCTTTAATTTAAAAAATCTACGCGATTCTGTTGCTATTAAATATGCAACTTTAAACTAAATATACAAATTAGATCGAATAAAACGCGAGGTCCCTCGAATTTGTACGCGACGCGCTGCAGTTTAAATGGGGTGGCCGAGTCGTTAACTTCAATTTATCTAGGATTTACGGAGCGCCAATAAGAAGCAGGTGACGGCGAATGCGCGTTTTATCTGTTAAGGCGAAGCCAGGTGGCTCGCCAGGATTGTTATCGTCGGGCCCTGTCGTGTTTATTGCATATCTCTCCCTCCCCCTCTCATTTACACGGTATAAACAGTTTAGCCGGCGCGATTAACGCGCCCGCTAGAATTGATCTTTTGTTTAGTAATATACGTAAAACGCGATGAAATGCGGGCGATAGAGACTGCAACGAATTACCATAATCCACCGACTTTTACGTTGAAACGACAGCGTTCTATCGCGCGCATGTGACGCGCCGCCACCCCACATTCCCACACTTACGTTTTAATAACGAAGGAAAAAAAAACAGGTGCGCCCCGCCGCACAAGTGTCGCACCGGCCACGTATCGTTAATTTCGTTTAGCCGTCTTTAATTGGACGTAATTACAAACGCGGGGGGGGGGGAGGGTATGCCAAACCAGCTTCAAAGATCAGTTTTCAGCGAGCATTACAGCTTAAAAAAATATGCATTATAGATCAAATTGAAATTAAATAAATAATAGTAATAACAAGATAGATGGTAATTAGAATACCATTTGTTTTCAGGGAATATCATAAGGTAAGTAACTTTATTAAGTTACTAATTTATAAAAATTTATAAAAATTTATATTAAATATAAAAATTACCAGAGACTTGGATCTATTATAATTCTGCATTAAAAATTCAATTAAAATTGAAAGATTTACAAAAGAATTATTGTGACCGTATCGTTTTACACGTGACGCTCTGTATTATATTACAGCAACGGTCTTCCATGCCTTTTTGGACTAATAGATTCTAGGAGACTCTAAAAGACTCCATATGGCACCTGCCGAGGATTAAGATTGTTTTAAAATAGCATACTAATTTTTTTTTCTGATTTCGATCGCCGGGGTATATTATTTTGCGGCTCGATACCAGAAATCCGGTCGCTTTTTATTACACAGTCACGTTCAAAATTTGATCGCTAACGTATATATATATATATATATATATATATATATATATATATGCAATTATACACTTAAAGAGAATTTGCCCGATTATTGCAACACTCCGAGCGTCTTGCGCGCGCGCGCTTTCCCGTAGAAATAATTACTCGCGAAGCCCCTCCTGCTTTCCCATAACTCCCGTGTCCATGTGGCGACCGTGGCGTCGTTAATAGGGCCGTAGGGACAGACCCTGCATATTCTAAGTACACCTGCGAGGTTCGCGTGTAGTAGCTGCACCTCGCACCCCGTGTTTCATGGACGATGAGCGTGGGAGTGCAGCCTGAAGCTGGCCCTCACGCTGCACACACAAGCGCATGGGCGCTCTCTCTCTCTCTCTCTCTCTCTCTCTCTGTTTTTCTACTAAAGCCAGTCATCGTTTAGAATTTCAAGTATAACGCGGTCAAAAATGTGTCTTGAACTAAGAACGAATGTCGAACAGAAAACTCATCATTTCTATATCGCAAAAAATTTAATCTAACTAGTCGAAAGATAACAATGGCTATGAGTTATCGTTATTATTATTTTGCAACTACAAATATTGTGCGCACAACTACATTATAATTATTGTTTAGCATAAGTAAATGAAGTATCTATTTTTAAAAACGTAATCCATTGTGTTCCATAGCGTTAATTTCGTAAGCTAAGACTGATAAGAGCGGTTACAAATTGTTAACATAATTACACGTACTACGTCGTTGGGTACATTTAACTATGGGTACATTTCCAACGTGGTTGGTACACGTATGTTTAACTTAATATCCTTACAACAAAAAATACCAGTGTAATGACGATTCAAGGTTCGACAAAATTCGGCATTTAAATATAATTCTATACATTAAATTAATTAATGAACAACTTGACATTATTAAAAAAAAAAATAAATAAAATTTTATTGTTTTCGTAAATTTTTGAAACGTTTTCTATTCTTCTTCCTATCCTCGTAAACCGAATGTACGTTATCTAATTTAATATTAAATATTAAATATAAGTTTCAATATTAAATTGTACACACTAAATTTCTAAATTAAACCAAAAATAGACAAAATTTAAATGACTATAAAGTCTCTTATCTGAAGAAATATTTTCTTTTCATATATAAAATATGTTTCCTACATATTTTCTTTTCATACAAAATATGTTTCCTAAATATAGCTCCTTCTGCCGAACCCAACGAGGCCGGCTGAACGTTCGTTAATTAATAGATCAACAGACGAGGAAATTTCGGCAGCTACGACATCTCGAGGAGCGTGTCTCGAGGAGCAGGGGGAAGCCGCTTGCGGGCGACGCGAAGGGGACGCGATGCACAGTCGGGCTATGGTATATCGGGCGGGCAAAAGTAGCAGCAGCCGCGTATCAGCTGTGAAACAGGTGCCGAGGACTGCCAGAAGTGCCGGCCGCTTAGGCGGCAGTAACGGTGAGCAATGAAGGCGGCGGCGGCCAGTAACAGGAGCAACGACAGCGACGGCGACGCCGGCAGCCTCGTGGCACGTGCCAAATCGAATGAAACGCCCGGTCGGCGTGCACAGCTGCTGTCTGCTCGAGGCAGGGTACTAGAGAAAGAGAAAGAGGAAAGAGAGACCCGGCGGCCTCTTGAAAATTAAAACCTGCCTCACGAATGTTCTCGACTCGCCGCCGCGCCGGAAGGTCATTATCTTCGGCCGGGGAACTCGCGGCTGCGACCCACATCAGGATCCGGGAATCCTCGGCTCGTTAGACGAAACCGAGAGTTCGCCGCTTGGGAGTCGCGTTTCCGAAATCTCGGGATCAAGAGTTCCGGATCGAAGTCCCCGATCTTTTGCTGGATACACTCACGAGGATATTCGGAGTTACGTCAGAAACATAATATCGTTACGTCAGAAAAAT